CCGAGAATGGGGTATCTATCCTTATATAGGGTACCTCCTTTTTCCTTCTCCTTTTGAACAACCGAGGCGATGACCTCTGAGGTGCCCACAATGCACCCACCGCTCAGCCCCCCCACCGTTACACAACACCACACTTTCTCCTCACCCCTTTCCTTCTTTCTTTCGGAGCGAAATAAAGCTCAAATTATATGAACATATCCTCCTATCTCCCTATTATCTGTCTCTCCATTCTCAGAACGGTGTAGACCTGGCGTCCAGCTTCTCCGCTATATTCCTATGGCTGCCCTTGCCAATCACAGCATGCATTTATCCTGCACGAGCTTACTCACGGACCCTGCGCCTCTTGGCCTACTGACAAGTGCTGACGGTTGTCTCGCGCTCGAGCTAGAGGAGAACAATGATCCGAAAACAAGGGCTCGTAAAGCTGTCAAAATGTATCCATTCTTGCTACAATGTATCCATTTTGTTTCCACTTTCAATTACCAATACGGAATAGGTCAGGACAGCATAGGAAACCTTAGGAAACCTTTAGAAATTGATATAAAATCAACCGTAACTCCGATTTCTTTCCTTTTGTGTGTCATTCAACTCGGCTCCCTATGGACTTCCTATAATGCTGCTCTCTACCTCCGATGATCCCGCTGGGACAGGTCACGTACTCAGGAAGACCTTAATCCTGTCAGAATCGTGTCTTGCCATACCCTTCCTGCGCGGGCGATGCCATCGGGTGGCAAGACGATGCATAATCTCCGCCAATTGTCTTCCCATTCACCTTGTACTCAGGAAACGCCTTGTATCTGTGTTTATCTGTGCATTATCGTCTTACTCTGCATTATTTCTCCCCCCTCCCTTACCTGAAATGTAATCCAGTGAATCCGCAACCTTCGCGATATAATGTAGTTCCATTGGATGTAACCTAGGTAAAACCCAGCCTTCTTTAATGTATTCATGACGTTTTGTTGCACTGTATTCTGGGACTTGGAGGGGAACTTTTAAAAGTTTATGTCGCCCATGCATCGGGGGTTCAATTCCACTTTAGAACCTGTTGCGCAATAAACTTGGGATCTTCGCATTTTGCTCCTGCGTCCGGCTGAGCTTCCTTTTCTTCCGCTAAGAATCCACGGACTTGGTCGATTGGCTGGGTGCAGGGTAAATACGCACCCAGATTTTCCCGTAACATTCCACAAGGGTCTTCTCTGTAGTAGTGTGCATCGATGAACTTTATTCCCTTGAGAGGACTGGGCCTGGCACCTACTTCATTCTGTTTTTAGTGCTTGGTGCGGTAAGAACCAGGCTTTTAATCATTTAAGATGAACCTCCTGGATCAAGCATTCTGTTCTAATTGTGGCCAACCAGATACCTGCGGACCCAAATACAAGAATGCTCTCCCTTCCTGTATTTTCCAGTGACTTTTCAGGAGCCCTATTGCCTCCCACTGTAGAGGCAGAGCAGGGAAAGGAGCCCTGGATGGTTAAGTCCAGTCCAAGGTGACTCTGGGGTGCGGCGCTCATCGCGCTTCAGGTCGAGAGAGCCGGTGTTGGTTCACAGACAACTTTTTGGGTCCTTTTATTGTAAACTACCCTGATAATTTCTGTTTATTACATACGTAAATAAGACAATAAAGTGATATTGCATCTTGAAACATGGAGTAGTTTTTTGAAGGTACGCAAACTGGAATAAAACCATGTAATATTTATGACAAGAGAAGTGACTTATAATTTACCATTTTATTTCAAAATACTTTAAAAATTCATTAATGTAAATGCACGAAAGCTTTGGCTTTCTCTAAGACAGAAAATGGGAAAGGGAGATGCTACACTTTATGAACATGTTTGCAGGTGTGACAGGAGGCAGAGAATGGAGGATGAAATGGGGAGAGGAAGGGAGCTGGGAGTGGAAACGTCCCATCCCGAGCGAGTCCCCTTGATTTGCTCCTTATCCCAGTTGAGCTGTTATTCTCATTTGGACGTTTCAGCCTCTCGCAAGCTGCGATTCGGGCGTCTTCAGGATGCCGCCCAGTGGGGCGGGGGGGGGGGCTCTCTCTCGGCCTCGTCTTGCCGGCCTTTCCCGGTGCTGCAGAAACATGGCTCGAGCCGAAGTAGTAGTCGGGAGAGGAGCTTGCAGGCTGCGCTTTTGCGGCGCTCCTGCAGCTGCGGGCTTGTTTTGCTGAGGTGGTTCCCCCCCCCCTTCGCCGTTTTCTATTTTTGCTTCCGATTTTAGTGTTTTGCTATGAGCAGCCTGGGCGCACTTTTATATGCCAAGGGCGAGACGCGTAAACATTTGGAAGGAAACCGGCGCTGACCCCGAAGGCAGCTGATTTCTGAGGTAAAATGTTTGTCATGGTTTCATCTGCGGCGGCTGCATTTTTGCTGGCGGGGAGGGAAGTGGGTGGCGATGCGCTGGCCGCGAAATCTCTCTCCGGGGCCTTTTGCCCGGCGCTCCGCGGGCTGCAGCTGGGCCGAGGAGGGGCGGAAGAGGCGGCGGCTCCCCGGGCGCCTCTGGCCCCGGCAGCTGCTGGCGGCTCCTCCTCCTCCTCCTCCTCCTCCTGGCCGGGGCTGCGGGAGAGGCGGCGCTTGCCGGGGCCGCTCTGCTCGCTGCCGCATCGCCCGCCCTGGGCCCAGCCGGCAGCCCGGAGGCGAGCCGCTCCATGGTGGCGACGTGTCGCTGGGGAGGCGCTAGGCCGCAGGTACGGAGGGGCCGGGAGGCGGGCGGCGGGCGGAGGAGGCCACCTCCTCGGCCCCGCCATGAATTCCAGGCCCCGAACGGGGCGGGATCCCGGAACTGCGCTCCTGCCCCCCTCGAAAGCAGCAGCAGCAGCAGCCGGATCCGACCCCTCAGGAAAGGCGTAGGAGAGAGAGAGAGGAAGCGGGTGCTCGGATCCCACCGGCGGCCCAAGGGAGCAGGCCACCCTCTGGCCGTCAGGAGCCCCGCACATTTCTCCCGTAGCGCGCTTTGCAGGAGATACTCTCCCCTTCCTTCCTTCCTTCCTTCCTTCTCCTGATGCACCTTGTTTGTGGGGTCAGGCTGCCTTCGCGGCAGGAGTGCCAGCTCGGCCCCGCGATTGTGGCTGCTCGGGCACCCAGGGAGCCAGTGCCTGTGCCATACCCTCCAACAGTTCTCTGATGAAAATAGGGGACGTCCCATTCCATAATGATCATTTTACTATTTATACCCCACACACCTGACTGGGCTGCCCCCAGCCACTCTGGGCAGCTTCCAACATATATAAAAACATCATGAGAAAATCAAACATTAAAAAAGCTTCCCTATACAGAATTGCCTTCAGACGGCTTGGAGGTCAATAACTCCATAGCCTCCAACATTTCTCCAATGAAAATAGGGACGTCCTAAGGAAAAGTGGGACTTTCCGGGATCAAATCAGAAACTGGGATGGCTTCTCTAAATCAGGGACACTCCTGGAAAATAGGGACACTTGGAGGGTCTGCCATGCTTTGCCATAACCCCTTTCCTCTCCCTTTTCCCCACCCTCCCCAAATTGGCATGAGCTGTGACCCCATAGTTCCCTTTCCAGAGGATATCACCCACTGCTTTAATTCTTCTTACACAAATACCTTCCACCCATTTTAAGCCATAGGGCGCTGTTTGCAGGCAATCCTTTCCGCCCACAATTTATCTCCCTTGCCCTTTCTTTCCACGGAAGGTTGTATCCTGCAAACCCCACAGAGGGCAAGTAGGTTCCACGAACTGCTGGTTCTTCTCTAGACTGACCAGCATCATCAGTTTATTTTATCAGATGCACAAAGTGTTATCATGAATAATTTTACAGACAGACAGATAGACAGATATATGGAAGGTGGCAGGGTGGAGTGGAGTTATAAACATTGAGGTCGGAAGGAATGAAATTGAGAACAAACAGACACACTGATATGTTAACAGCAGCCATTCATACGAAAAAAGTTGTTAATAACATAGACTTCTTTAGTCTAGTTTTAAAAAACCCACTTTTGTCCCAATTCAGTGTATAAGTTACTGACCCTCTTGAGGACTTGTAATCTATTAAAATAATATTAAAAGGCTAGCTTTCCACCAGTAAGATTAATAGGCAAGGAATGGCCAGTGAAGTCCTACCCAACCTTAGGCACCAATTTACCCCTATCAAAGCTTTTTTTAAAAAAAACCAAGTGGTTTCAAATTTGTGACATGAATCCATTTAGAGAGTGGCATCTTGTATTTTGAACAGGAAAATATCTGATAAAAAGACAAGACATGGAGAGATCCTTCCAAAGCTGCTGCATACTCTACCTCAGGGGCCAGCAAACTTTTTCAGCAGGAGGCCGGTCCACTGTCCCTCAGACCTTGTGGGGGGTCGGACTATATTTTCAAAAGAAATACAGTGGTACCTCGGGTTACATACGTTTCAGGTTACAGACTCTGCTAATCCAGAAATATTACCTCGGGTTAAGAACTTTGCTTCAGGATGAGAACAGAAATCATGCTCTGGCTGCGCGGCAGCAGCAGGAGGCCCCATTAGCTAAAGTGGTGCTTCAGGTTAAGAATGGTTTCAGGTTAGGAACGGACCTCCGGAACGAATTAAGTACTTAACCCGAGGTACCACTGTATATGAACGAATTCCTATGCCCCACAGATAACCCAGAAATGCATTTAAATAAAAGGACACATTCTACTCATGTAAAAACATGTGGATTCCTGGACCGTTTACAGGCCGGATTTAGAAGGCGATTGGGCCGGATCTGACCCCCGGGACTTAGTTTGCCTACCCATGTCCTAGGTTATATCCAATATAAAGTATTATTCATGTATTATGATTCTTTTGATCTTAAGGTATATTTCAGCTGCAGAATGAGAAATGAGACAAAACTGCTGATGGCAAAATCAATGCGAATACTATTTGGAAGTAAAAGTGATTCACTGCTAGGCTTGTTTAGTATTAAATTCTTTTGGTCCATTGCTTCTAAACTCTGAAAAAGACAAATAGGAAAAAAACGTATAAGAAGATCCAGCTGGGACAGGCTAGTGGAAGGGTTTTGTTTATTACTACGTTACCCAGCCAGATTGGCAAGGCATTACTACTATGTACTACTACTACTTTTTGTGTTGTTTTATATTGAAAACTGCCCTGTGATCCTCGGATGAAAGGCGTATAAGTGATTTATTTTGAAGGGTTATATATACACTTTGCCTTCACAGCTGCCTCCATCTGTCCTTCCATGCTAATATGTGCCTGGCATATTGAATGCACCTGATAGCTGGTACTTGGAAAGTGCCACCACTGAGCTTTTCCTTTGACAGTCTGGATTGAGATGGCTTCCTACAATGTTTTTGTTATGTTTTCCCAGCATTACCGTATATGCTTCCATTCTGGCATATATAATTAGAATAAGAATAAGAATGTGTCATGTATTCATGGGTTTACAACATAACTTCAAATGATACCCGAGGAAGCATCATGTCTTAATGTCAGGCATATGTGTGTATAGTGCATTTAATGCATATACATACACCAGAGTAACCATCCTATCCTCAAACTAAAAAGTTCTGAGTTGGGCCACATTCATGTTTATAAATGAGTTCCCTTACTCTGTACCAAAAAAGTCACCTGGTGTCTTTTGTCCGTTCACCTCTTTTTATTAACATTTGAAATCAGTGGGTTTATCACACATTTGAATGTTTATTCTGTTTTTCTTAAATGTGTTTAATCTTTTGTTTAGGACTTGAAAATAGCCATGTGTGTTACAATCTCAAAGGTTTTTTTAAACTGATGGAACTGGAAGAGATAGGAGGTCTCCTTACTGGGCTTTCTTGGACTTTCCTCATTAAGGCATGCAAACTTAGTATTGTTATACTAAATCATTTGTAGAATAGTTGCAGAGTGCAATGTGTTGGAAAACGCCCAGGGGTGCCTGCTAACCCCCAGAACTCGGAGCAACGCTGGAAGAGGCATCTCCCTGCTCATCCAGTGTGCTTAGCGACATAAACCAGCTTGATTGATGCACACTAATCATCTAGCATAACACAGCAAGAAGCGTGAAACATCGTGGTCTAATCTACTATTTATAACGAAATAAAAGCAGAAGTACATTACAAAGTACATACAGTGGAAGAGAGATAAGGCTGTTTTCCATTCCCACAGTCTGCTCAGACAGGCATGTGAATTATGCCAATCACATAATGCAGCATTGGAGGAGTGAAATTGCTAACATCTTGTTGATACTAGTAGAGACTACTAACACTGATATATCCTGTATGAACAGAAGGCTAATTAGCAATACAGTGGGATTTTACTCTGCTCTTGACATCAAGGTACCTACCCACCCCCCCCATATATATATATATATATATATATATATATATATATATATATGCATGCACCAAGATGAGCACCTCTTGTGTTGGACAATCAAAGTTACATAAGTGGTTACATATAAATTTAACCTTGGATTGAGTTTACATTATTTTCTGTGATCCATTATTTTCACTGGAGTGAAATGGGGGTTACTAGAACCCTGTAAGTCTATTCCATGGGTAGGCAAACTAAGGCCCGGGGGCCGGATGTGGCCCAATCACCTTCTCAGTCCGGCCTGTAGACGGTCCAGGAATCAGAGTGTTTTTACATGAGTAGAATGTGTGCTTTTATTTAAAATGCCTCTCTGGGTTATTTGTGAGGCATAGGAATTCATTCATTTCCCTCCCCAAAAAATATAGCCCGGCCCCCCACAAGGTCTGAGGGACAGTGGACCGGCGCCCTGCTGAAAAAGTTCGCTGACCCCTGCTCTATTCTATCTGCCAAACCCAGATAACCCCTCCCAGAAAATTAAATTAAATTAAAAATCTGAATGAAATAAATAATCCATTTTGAAAATCAACTAGAGTCCAAGCCTATATGGTTAAAGTTTTAACAGGGGTAGCTAACCACCAGTTCAGGGGCCTGATCTAGTCTCTCAAGCATTTTTTTTTTCTGTTTCCCAACACCCTGCCAGTTTTGGAGAGGGCAATGTGTATATATTTCTCCAATATTTGGGGTTCTATGCAGCATGAGGACACATTTGTTTCCTAGTCACCCTCTTTGGTTACAGTCCTCTTGGTACTCACCTCCTGAGTTTGCTATTACAGTACAGTGGTACCTCGGGTTACATACGCTTCAGGTTACAGACTCTGCTAACCCAGAAATATTACCTCAGGTTAAGAACTTTGCTTCAGGATGAGAACAGAAATCGTGCTTCGGCAGTGCGGCGGCAGCGGAAGGCCCCATTAGCTAAAGTGCTGCTTCAGGTTAAGAACAGTTTCAGGTTAAGTACAGACCTCTGGAATGAATTAAGTACTTAACCTGAGGTACCACTGTATCTGGGTCAGAAATGTAGCAAAGACTTGAGTACTTTCATTTGTAGTGGCTCTCACCTGCACAAAATATGATTTATTGAGAAAGCAATCAAAACCTTCAGTGTGCCATTCTGGATGGCATTTTGATGGGACAGGATTGTTCCTCTCCCAGACTTTTCTCAGTTTCTGCACTTACTTCCAAGTAAGCATGCATATGATTGTGCTAGTAATACTTTTATTGACCTGTTATGAGCTGTAATCCTAAATAATAAGTGTAGCTAGGGTCTTAACTGCTAAATACTGAAGGTCAGAAAAGGTTCCTAGCTTATTTGGAAGTGAATAAGGGACATGTTTTTGCAAAACTAATATGGTATGCCGAGTTTCAGCCTACTATTTCCCCATTTGGGTGTGGGGCTACCTGCACCTTAACTCTGGGAGATAGGTTTCCTCTCAGCATAATCCCAGTGAGCTTGAGCCTGCTGCCAGCTAAGCGAATGTAGGATTGCAGCTTTAATCATTCCATTTTGCCAAGTTGGAAAAGTTGAATGTTGCAGACTAATGAAGGGCTTATTTATCCAGAGGTTACTATTTCACATTTGCTATCCCCCATCTCAGTGAAATACATATTCCAGCCTTCCACAACTTTCCAATTTATCAACATCCATTGACTATGATCATTGATGGATTGAGAGATCTGAGTCAAGAAGACCTTCTGACCCAGCCAAAAGCAATTATTATTATTTAGTTTGATTTAGCTTCTATTCTACCTATTTGACATGTAAGCATACGAGACCCTGCAATGAATTCAAACAAACAAACAAATGAGTAATCCTGCAGGTTAAATTTAGGAACTTGTGTCTTAACTTGTATACTGTTCATATATACTTTATAAACAGTTTAAATTAAGCAGTATGGGGAACTTTCAGGGTAAAACATTTTGGCTTCAGCTCAGAGCTCTTTGGAAGTTTGGGTGTGCAGACAGCTCTTACTTGCTTTCTTGACTTGTTTCTTGACTTGGACAAGGGCAATTATTGCATTTACTGAAACTGTGCGCTTTGGAATAAGCAAGGAGTCCCTGAATTTCAGGGAATTTATTTGGGATTATTTATGTATATTTGCCTGCAATAACGGCAATGTGTTTCATTAAGACGTAGCTTAGATCAGTATTAGGTTAATTTAATTGATCTAAAATTTGACAGACTACTGTTATTACATCAGTGAGGGAAGTAATATCAACATGAATCATTTTCAGGCACTGAAATGTGAGTTTTTAAAAAGATCTTCCAAATGTTAAAACTGGAACATTTGTATGTTAACCTTGCCAGTGAAAATGTAATGACAGGTGGAGATATAATAAAAATAAATGTTCAACAAAGTTTATTATATGAGCTGTGATTAATCCAGGTTCATATTTTAGTTTCTGGAGCCATATCAATGCCTACCTTAAGCATGGATGTAGCCAAAGGGGGGCAGGGGGGCAGTTCCCAAATCAATAAAAAACCAATACAGATCTGCCCCCCTAACAAAAGCCTTTCCCCCCAACAAAGCCTGCCCACCCCAACAAAAATCCAGGCTATGCCCATGAATGTAAACTATAGTTTCTGCATCTATGTAGAAGTACAGTGGAACCTTGTGTTATGGACGGGATCCATTCCGGAGGCAGGTCCGTAACACGGAACTGATGCAAGTTGAAGTGCTGTGTCTGTGCAGGCGCAAGTGGCGAAACCCAGAAGTAACCTGTTCCGGTACTTCCGGGTTGCTGCGGGACACAACACGAAAACACGTAACCTGAAATGGACGCAACCTGAGGTATGACTGCAGGATACAATTGCAGTCTAATGTAGGAGTGCAATTAAAGTATTTTCTGTTGGTGATACTTCAGATTTTCTTGTGAGGTTTTGTTTTGTGTTCATTTCACTTTTACTTTGTGATGAGATTTGAATTGGAAGGCTTGTGCATTACTGCATATTTTTAAAAATATTCACTAAATTCAGAAGGATGCTGTTGTTATCTAAATTAGAAAACTTAACATTGCAATATGAGGAAGCATCTTAGTTAATAAGCTGGGGCCATTCTTCACAAACAGTTAATTTGAATTACAGATGGTCCGTGTTGGTCTGCCATAGTCAAAACAAAAAAAATTCCTTCCAGTAGCACCTTAAAGACCAACTAAGTTAGTTCTTGGTATGAGCTTTCGTGTGCATGCACACTTCCTCTGAAGAAGTGTGCATGCACACGAAAGCTCATACCAAGAACTAACTTAGTTGGTCTTTAAGGTGCTACTGGAAGGATTTTTTTTGGAGTTAATTTGAATGTACTGCACAGGTCTAAGATGTAACGGGAATGATTTTCACCACGTAATTGCTAATTATGGAGCACACTTTGATATTTTCCCTTTTGATACTATTTTACTAGAGCAATTAGGAACTGTGACATTTTGTTCTTTTTGTTGTTGTGTGAATAGACTGGTGTGTACAGTGGCTTGCCGAGGTTAGTTACTTATAAGATCATAGAACCATAGAATTGTAGAGTTGGAAGGGACCCCGAGGGCCATCTAGTCCAATTCCCTGCAATGCAGGAATATTCAGCTGTCCTTTATAGGGATCAAACCTGCAACCTTGGTGTTCTCAGCACCAGGCTCTAACCAACTGATGCTAAATTTATGACTATACTCAAATAGCTGTTAGCTGTGAATAATTTAGTGTGGCATCATGTTGCTGCTGATTTAGGACTGGTTTATTGCTCTAGTGAGATGACTTCAACTAGAAACATTTACTCTTCCTGTTATGTTTCTGTTTTGTTACTGAAATTAAGCTTTTCACCTTTGGCAGGGAATAAGGTGATTGTGCATGGTAGAAGGGAGAGGAGGAAGATGACGACGAGGAAGTTGAAAGCAAAAGCATTATACTTTTTCCAGAATATCTTACAAAGCCTGCTTATCCCACCTGTCTCTTCCCTAGCATGTTGGTATCTGTGTACAGTAATCACAAATTGATGATTTATGTTCAATTAATCAGCATTTGCATCTTAGAAAATTCTACAGGAAGGTAGAACCTGGTTGCATTCAGTGAACTAGATGAAGACTAGTTGAAGAAAAAGGGTTTATGAAGGTTTATATCCTTGATCTCTTTTCTTACTGTACAGGTAGATATAGTTGCACAAGAATGTGAAATCATCAATATAAGAAAACAAATAGTCCATTGACTTCAGTGGCATTAAGCCATGAGTTTATTGTTAGCATGTACTCAAAACTTTTCCTAGAAAGAAAAAAGCTCCACGGGTATCATTTGTTAACCAGTGGGTTGTTATGACCATTGTTAAATTGAAGTAATAGGTATCTGGTATATTTGATTTGATCTTGGCCATTTGTTTTCCATAACTTATCTAAAAACTGCTCTAGTCTTATTTGTATGCATTTTAATGGACTGATAGTTCCCATATTTGATAATAGTTATTAATATACCACACATAATGCATAACAATTATGTACATTTCTAAAAGAGAGTCTACTTAAGGTCATCAGTGACCTGCAAGTAAATCACTTGAAAATACCACACTATTCTTCCAAATACAGTGGTATGTCGGTTTTTGAACGTTTCCGTTGATGAACATTTCAGTTTTCGAATGCCATAAACCTGGAAGTAAATGCTTCGGTTTTTGAACATGCCTTAGAAGTCGAACAGAAACGCGGCTTCTGCTGAGTGCAAGATCCTGAGGCCTAGCTGTTGGCTATTGAGTTTTCGGTTTTCGAATGTTTCAGAACCTGAACCGTCTTCTGGAATGGATTATGTTCGAAAGCCAAGGTACCACTGTATTCATTAAAAATAAAGAAGACTGTATGGTGTTGTCTCATTACATTTTTCTAAACCATTTTATCTCCCTTTTTACCTTAACTTTCAGTTTCTATAACTGGGTTGTCATATTATAATTGCCATCAGCCTGCCATAATACCTAAAAAGATGTTTATGAATACATGTTATCTCTTTTTAATTCAGTACTTAACCAGTGGTGACTATATGCAATGGCCTCAAGCCACCGGTCTTCACCAGTGCCTCCATCAAAGAGCAGTGATACTTTCATTAAAAGGGAAGTGGATTCTGCCAAACGCTTTCGACCAGTGCAGTCGCTGCCAGATGTATGTCCCAAGGAACCAACAGGTAAGTGTCTCTAACAAAATTGGCTTAACTTTTTTCCAGGCTGAGTGCCACGTTGCCCCATTGAAAAACTGTTGAGTGCCACATTACAGTATGTATGTATGTATTAAATTTGTATACAAATTTAATACAGACATTCATACATACAACATAAAAACAAAATAAAGAAACAAGAACAAAACCAAAACACACCAATAACCCCCCTCTCACAAACACATTTAAAAGGACATAGAATGTTAATCAACCAAAGGGCTGGTTGAAGAGGAACATTTTTTCCTGGCACCTAAAGATGTATAATGAAGGCGCCAGGTAGGATCTCAAAGTTACTATGTCTAGACCCTTACCCTTAACTCTCTCCCCCCCCCTCTTCCTCTTCCTCTCCCCATACACACACCATATCTCATGGAAACTGAGATCTATGTTTGATACACGCGTGTCCCCACTTAAATGAGGGTTATGTTCCCAGGTACCACAGGTACACATGAAATCATGTATAGTGGGGAACACCATCTAAAAAGCCAAACACCAGCACAATCGCTCCCTCCAAACCTCTTTTCTCAAACTCCAACTCTCCACAGGCCTCCCCTTTCACACATTTTTGCAGTTTAAATAGATTTATTTAATTATTTCCCAGCTCTGTGTGTATACATGAGTTGAACACGCGTAAGTGGAGAGATGCCTGTCATTAGCAGGGTAGGCATGGTAAAGTTTATGCTGTTAAACATACACATTGTGTACATGTTGAACTCTGTGGACGTGACAAACTACATTCTAGTGATTTCAGGGGATCTCTTCTGAGTGTGACTTAGACAGATACAATCCTTAAATAGTGAATTGACATTAGTTTGTTTATTGCACAGTTGCATATTGCTACGGACATAAAAAACAGTAAATGTTTAAATTTTGGATATTTGCATTAAACTTGATAGCCTATGTGAGCTTGAATGAAAAGAACATGCTGGATGAGTAGTAAATCAATTTCAATAAGATTGTTTTTATAGCAAAAACAATTAAAATCAATTTTAGGGTTATGTAACTCTTGAAATGCTGCATTGCCTTCTAATACTTCTCTTAATTATACTCTTAGGTTCTGCTATTTTATTTTATTTTTGTACCTTTGAAAGGAGTAAACAATAGTAAATTACATGATGACTGTTTCAATGTGTAGAAGATTTGTATGTCTGTCATTGTGAGGCTTTGCAAAATGTACAAAGATAACAATTGTTAATACGCTTCATTTCTCTGATATCTGAAATTACGTGTTGTATGGAGATTTGGATCTGCTAACTCACTGCCAACATTGGAGAGTTCAGAGTTTTCTGTTCTACCCTGAATGCTAAAAGCAATATTAAGATAAGATGGATATATTTCAGTCTAAACACAAAGGTGCAGAGCAGTCCTGCAGTACATAATTAGAGTGTAACATCTCCTTAAGATATTTATTTGTATAGTTAATTCTTAAATTATGCTGCAGATTTTATCTTGTCATTGCTGGAAAAAATGCATGCCTCTTTCAAGTTACTGTTTTGTCTTTCAGGTGATCCTAATAGTTTATGTGACAGTCCATCTTTAGTTGCTGATCAACATAGATGGACTATTTATCATTCCAAAGTAAATCTCCCAGCAGCACTAAATGATCCTCGGTTAACAAAAAGGGAATCTGATTTCTTTACAAAAACATGGGGACAGGATTTTGTGGACATTGAAGTTGTGCCTTCGCTCTACCTCCCACAGATCAGCAAGGAACTTTTTGTAACATACCAACAGGAAATTGTTCAGGTAAAAGAGAAATCCTATGATAGACCTGTCTATTTCTGATGTTCAGGCTGTGAGTGCTGTTGCTTTTGTAGCAAATAAGGGCAGAAAAAGGAGAGTTGGGGGGAACCCAAAGCTAGAAAGAAAGAAAGAAAGAAAGAAAGAAAGAAAGAAAGAAAGAAAGACCATAGTGCCTCAGAACAGCCTAATGAGGATTGAGTCTGCTCAGTGGCCATGGAATGCTGACTGACTTTTTTTGCGTATTCTGTGCAGTTTAATTTGCTACCTCACAGAAGATGATAAAAATGTATTTGTCTCTAAGTTCTTTCACTGTTTATTTTTCTTCTTGCAAGCTGGCTTAGGACCTAAATTGCCTGGCTGGTGAGGGACTGATAGTGAGGAGGTGAGCGGGAAAAGGAATCTGCTGCCAGACCAGAGGATGAGCACAGTTCATGCTAAACAGTTTTTTTTTAAAAGTTAATGCTAACTTGTCAGCCAAAGCCAGCTTTGAGCTAGTGTTTCAGATCCTGTTTTGTTAGCCTCATAGAAAACTATGAGGTTTAGCAAACCATAGTTTAGCTACACAAAACTGTGGTTTCCTGTTACATCTGAAGTGGCCCACACTTAATGGAAATTTTTACACTTGTTGCACACACACAGTTGTATATGAACATTTTTTAAAAGATTCCATATGCTTAGAGAAGAAACACAACTTGTTCATTTAAACTGTTTTTCCTATTTTTAAGCAGCGTGATGAAAGAAGTACAAGGTCTCTGTGCACAAAGGCTGAAAGTTTGGAACAGTTACTCTACTCTGCACACACTCTACCTAGTCTGCACACACTCTACCTAGCCCTTCTCAGTTTGAGCAGCAAGGTCTGAAGAGGACTTCAAGATGCATTTGACTGAATGAATTTGGAAGCTTCCTTGCAGTAGGAAACCAATAATCCAGAGTTCCTGGTCATGGGGAGGCTTCTAAGTTGTCCAGTTGAATTTGCATAGAAGACCCCTTCATGCTAAGCACACTAAGATGGAGAGTGGAGGGTTGGTGGGACACATGGACACTTAGTTCCCTGCACTCCCCCCCCCCCCGCCTACCCTTGCATGTTCAGGATGAAGGCCTGAAGAGTACTTTAGTGCTAAACCTTACAAAGAAGCCTTAGGCCCTCAGGTGCTTTGGGACAATATGTCCCACCAGCCATGGAGATAATGGGGGTTGCAGTCCAACAGCATATGTGGACCTAAGGTTGGGGAAGTCTACTTCAGAGGATAGCCCAGTCCTATGCATGGCTACTCAGAAATAAAGGCTATTGTAGGCTTTATTCCCAGGTATGTACGCATAGGATGTCAGCTTTAGTTAAAGGTATAAGAAAAATGGCCTATATATATATTTTTTTAATCTTTAATATATTTTATTAATAGGAATGCAGTCCTGAATTACACCATTGCATTATAATAGATTTAATTTGTCAGTCAATTTTCATTTTGCATAGGAAACTTAAATAATGTGCTGTGGAAAAAAAATGTTTCAAACCCGGAATTTTCTTCACCTTTTGTAGAGAGAAAAGATTCATGAGAGATGCAAGACCATTTGTCCTCCTAAAGATACTTTTGATAGGACACTGTTACATATTCATGGTAGGTTACAGGTTTTCTTGTAGCTGCTTAGTCGTTCTCTTTAATTTACTAGGGCTGCCATACATCCGGAATTTCACTCTTCGTTGGATAATTTGAGTCCCTGAGCGGGGAACAATGAAGTAAGGTAGCCATAAAATATGCAGGAAAAGGATAACAATATACAGAAATGACAGAGTATAGAAAAACAGGGCCAATAAATGAACAAAACAACAGCTTCACCATAAAGCAAGCAAAGACAAATTACAGTGAAGACAGCAATTAGAATTTCTAATTTCACCCAATACCTGGGTAAAGAAAATACAACATCTAGCTGACTGAAATATTTCAAATTGTCTGCCCTGAATCTTCGAAAATTCAGCTTCATTTAATGTCCCCAAATTCTAGTATTTATGAGAGAGAGAGAGAAACATTTCTGTATTCACTTTCTCTATGCCATGCATAATTTTATACACCTCTCTCCAATGGCTAGAGAGTGAAAGAGGTGAATAACTGCCTCTCCACTGCCTGCTGAGATGGTTCTTCAATCTACAAAGGAGAATATTTGCTTTAATAATATTTTCTTCTGTTTATCTAAAATGACTGAGTTCAGATTTTTCTTACTTGTGTATATTCAATCTGAAACCAAATCCAGAAACATTCCAAAGTTTAATAAGGGCCTGTATGTTTCATAAAATTGAAAATGAATGAGCAACTGGAGTTTACTGTGAAAATATGTAATTTGAATCTTCTATTTGTTGCGGCATTTTATTTTTAGATAAATCCAGGACAGATCTGGAGCAAGTACCTAAGGTATGATGGAGATTTTCATAGCTGTAAGAAGAAATGCTTTGCTCGTGTCTTTTGCTTGTTAATTTATTTGGGCTGTATGTATTATTTATTGAATTTATATGCCGCTCTATACTCGCAGGTCTCAGGGTGGTGTACAGAATAGAGATACATATTTTAGCATAGCTTATCCTACTCTTATATGTGACAATGTATGCAGAATTTAGGCAACTTATCAAAATGCATCATTTCCAGTTGTTTTCACCAATCTTCCTCTTTTTGAAGTTGTTTCTTTTGCTAGATTCTGAAGATTAACTATTCACACTAACACTATAGTCACATTTTATTTTATTTTTGTCCTTTGCTGCAATAATCCGTACATATTTCACACAAACATAGGCCCAATGCAATAATGTACTACAGCAAGCTTCAGATTTGTGTGATCTCCCCTTCTTTCCTCCTTAGTCCACAAGGTTGAGGAATGGGGGTCTGCACTATACAGGTAAAGGTGGGAACATTAGTGATGTGTGGTAATGAGGTGTGATTGACTTATTTTTTCAGATTTTTTTAAAACCAGATTTTGCCTTGGAAGATCCCCTAACATTTAATGCAGTATTACCTTGGTCTCATTTTAATACTACTGGAGGCAAAGGAAATCGTGATGCAGCTTCCTCAAAGTTGCTTCAAGAAAAGGTAAATAAACTCCGTGCTTTTCTCCCCCAGGGGGTACTCAAGGGGACATAGAACCAGCACCTCTTTTTGTTGTTGTTAAAAAACACTGACATTTACTGTAACAACTTCATGGTGAGTACCAGCACCTATTTTTCTAGAAAAAAAGCACTGAAGAAACTGTTTCCATAGCAGGTATTTGATCAGTGCAATGGAAGTTACTTTATTAAGGTGCTAACTGTGCATATATACTTGGCTTGTGTAATTCTGGTTGAGCTCTTTCAGAATAAAATGTTTGTTTGTTTGTAGCCTGCCCATCTGACTGGGTTGCCCCAGCCACTCTATAATATATAGATATTATAAAGGACAGTGGTTGTTTCTGTTGGAAGGTTAAGAACATTAAACCCTAAAAATGGATTGTGGCATAAGCATTTAAGGCAAGCCACTTTATCAACATTTGAAGTGTTGCTTGATCCTTGCTTGATACTGATATCATTTCTGATATCAAAGGCTCTTAATCTGCTGTTACCCCATTTAGGATGGATGCACAATTTATTTGTTTGTTTGTTTTTTGTTTGTTTATGTTTATTCCATCTCTATCCTGCCTTTCCTCAAAATGGCTCAAGGTGGGACTTGTGATTCTGCCTTCCTCCCATTTATCTTCACAACAACCTTATGAAGTAGGTTAGTCAGCGAGTCTGATGTCAGAGTGAAAATTTGAACAAAGTCTCCATAATCCTTGTGTGACGCCGTAGCCACTATATCAGTTGACTATCAGCGCTAATTGAGCCCAGATTCTTTCTGTTTCAAAGAGAAGCCAGCTGGGCAGAGTGCTGATTGGATGGTCGTAGATTCTGAAGACTCTTCCTGCCTCCAGTAAAAAAAAGGAGGTGTTGCTTTCTAAAAAGGCACTGAGCACACATTGAGGTGGATTAACATGTCAGACACCTGAAAATACATTTAAATTTGAAAGCTTACATGAAGCATAGGTAGGAGGCAAAAATGAACAACTGAGTGGGAATAACTTTGTGTCAATAAAGGAGCAAAAATGGGGAAGCCATCTTTGTTCAGCAGTAGAAAACCCACACCAGTTTTGCCGTGGGAAATAGTCTGACGCACATCAGAGATATAATTGAGTGCAGCCCAAAGAATGGTGGGGGACAGTGAGGAGTTCTTATTACATAGTGAGACCAGAAGGCAGTGCAAAAAATTAAGAATGCCACATTACAATTTAGAGTGTAAGTGAGCATGATAGAAGTGAACTGAGCTGTTCAACTGTGGAATGGACTCCCTGGGAAGGTGGTAGATACTCCTTCCTTGAAGGTTTTTAAGCAGAAGTCTGTCCTGGATGCTTCAGTTAGGATTCCTACAATGCAGGGAGTTAGACTAGATGATCCTTGGGGTCCCTTCCAATTCTATGATTCTACAATATCTTAACAGGAAAGTGGGTATCCAATACTTAAACTTGTAATGAATCGGCAAAAGCAAGTTGAATAGGGTATATGAACTTTTAATGGAAGATAATATTGTGGTGCACAAGACACTTCCAGTCATTATTGATCTGAAAGTATCAAATCTGCAAATTAATTCCAACTTAGCCAGTTCATGCTGAAGTCTCATTTTGAAACTTTCCTCCTTGAAGAATGGCAGCTTTAAAGCCTGTTCTTAAACGTTCAGGAAGATTGAAATACACCTCCAGTGTCATGCTGTATACTCTTTTTCTTGTTTTTCTTTGTTTAATTTTAAATCCAGTGTTCATTAAATATGGTCTGTGTTCCTGGGTATGTGCATGTGTGATTTGTAAAGGCAGCGTGCCCATTTTACTTGAGTTAAATGTCTGGTATTGTGACACTGATTGTGGTAGATTAAGAGCACAAATGTTACAATATTGATTTCTCTTTCTTCCCTTAAGCTGAGCCACTATCTGGATATTGTGGAAGTAAATATCGCTCATCAAATCTCTCTCCGCTCAGAAGCATTTTTTCATGCCATGACCTCCCAGCATGAGCTGCAAGACTACCTCAGGAAAACCTCCCAGGCTGTAAAAATGCTTCGAGATAAAATAGGCCAAATTGATAAAGTCATGTGTGAAGGATCTCTTAAAGTTTTAAGATTATCATTGACTAGAAATAACTGTATAAAAGCATATAATAAACTGAAGTTAATGGCAACAGTGCACCAAACACAACCTACTGTACAACTATTACTGTCCACTTCTGAATTTGTTGGAGCGTTAGACTTGATAGCAACGACACAAGAGGTGCTACAGCAGGAGCTCCAGGGCATTCACAGTTTCCGGTAGGTGACATTTGACATTCCAAAATTATTATGATCAGTTTCAAGGGATATCTAGTTCATGCAGATCTAAGTTGGTATTCAACTAAATTTAACTCAGAGTAGAGCTGTTGAAATTAATGGATACGACTAAGTGAGTAAAGCTTGGCTGCATACTATATTGTTAATTATATTACAGTACATTAGTGTCCAGTGAGAATGCAATTAGTCAGGTTTTTTAAAAGGCCCTAAAAGTATCCTTGATATAGCGTGAATTCTTATTTACATTAATAGTTGTACACCACATAAATGCAAAGGTAAAGGGTATTCAGACTGCCCTTCCTCTCTGTCCTAAATATAGGCCAATCAAGATCAGTGGTTGAGTACAGGTCACCTAGAATTATGAGAGTAGGTGGAAAGTTGTCTTTGTCTATTTTCCTCCACACCATCCATAATTTAATAAAGCACTGTCACACTCCCCCTCCCAAAAAAATCTTGTTTTCTAGACTAAAAGGCCCTTTATATTTTAGTCCAGGGTTTCCCAAAGTGGTCGATAATGACTCCTGGGCTTGGTGGGGCTGTGCAAGGAGTGAATAAAGACCCATGGCTCAAAATGAGTTGGGGGTGGAAAAGAAGCTTGCAGAAAAGGGCATGTCATGCGCAGAGTGAACGTCCCTTGCCAGTGAGGAACCTCTGTATTTAACAAGATGATTCCACAATACAACCATATTCTCAGACTGTGCTGCTTTGCTGCTAAAAAAAATGTCTATAGGTGCTTTTCCTCACTTTATTCATTTACGTTGGGTCAATGAGAAATTCATAAGCTCATCCAGGGTTCAGGTGTTTGAGAAACCCTGTTTCTAAGCCTTTCTTAGAGTGAAGATAGTCATCCTTTTTGAGATACGTCGAACAGAAATCAGTCTAGTGCTCCAGATGTTTCTTTCCCTTAGATTTGTGTCAGGATGTTAAACGCTTTTCTAATAGTCATTGAATGGAGCTCAGCTTTTTTATTCCCGTGATGCTCTCCTGCTGGACTAACCAGCGTGCTCCTTTAGATTTGTTCTCCATGCGTTGGTTCTTATTTACCTTTTTGTTTTCCGTTTGCCCAGATTTTAGAAATCCTTTTAGATCTCCTTGAATGCAAACCTGGTCTTCTCCCTCCCCCTTCTGACTCCATCTCCTTATTGAAAAAAATAGATAGCTCTCACCTCAATAAATATCTTTGGGGAAGCATTACTGCATGCATACCTCCACTGTTAGAAGTCAGTTTACTCTTGCCCTCTATTTCCTTTTTTTTAGCCAGTTACTGATCCCTAAGAGGACCTGTCAACATCTCCCATGACTGCTGAGTTCTCCAGAGTCTTTGGTTACTCATGAAGTGTGTAATTAGAATGCATATTTTATAGCAAATTGTTCTCTTTTCATGGAGATGTCTGACATTAATGTCACAGTGGAATTTAAAAGTGTTTTTTTTTTCTTTTGCTGCAAAGGAAGACATAACTTAAATAAACTGTATTCAGTGTCCTTTATAGTGTTATTTATTGTGTAGAAATTACCCAGATGATAGCTATACATCCCCATATTTTCCTGATATTTGATATTGAGATAATGACACTTTCATGCTCCCTCTCATAATTATTTTAACTTTTTCACACATTTTTTTCTTGAACAGGCATCTTGGATCACAGCTATGTGAATTAGAAAAACTCATAGATAAAATGATGATTGCAGAGTTTTCTACCTATGCTCACAGTGACTTAAATAGACCTCTGGAAGAAGAATGTCAGATTCTGGAAGAGGTACAGTACTCCCCATTTAGAAGGCTTTTTGCGGTCTAATTGCCTCTTGGGACATAGAACAGAACACACTGCTGTCAATGCCTATTCCATTCACTTTTCCTCTACAAAATGAGTTTTCACCAACACATCTTGAATCCTCTCAGTGATTTGAAAGCATTAATTTTGGCATTTTCCATTCAGTTCTTTTTTATTTCTCAGCTGTGTCATAATGCATACCACTTGTCCACTCCTTCATTCATGGAAGGCACAAATACGCACCCTGTATTGTCCTTAGCAGAACTAGCTTCTGTGTATAGTATGTGGGGATGAATGCAAAGTATACATCTGTAGCACATGGCTTCTACAGCAGCCAGTAATTTCTGCCGGGCCAGAATCAAACCTTGACCTTAATAATAGTACAGAGACTAACTCCTATTGTACTTTCCACCAGATTTGCTATTTGGCATGTTAATTTATCTGCACTAGTTAGGTTCTAATTTGCCATTTGAGTTCTCATTACCTTTCTTTCACATGTGATCTTTATTCTTGTTTTTTCTTTTCTAAATAGGAAAGGCTTGTATCTTTAGTGTTTGGACTTCTAAAACAAAGGAAATTGAATTTTTTTGAAATATATGGAGATCAAATTATTGTAACAGCAAAAAATATAATTAAACAGGTAATTTTTTTAAAGGGATTTTTATCTTTCACATATATTTTAGTTAAATGTTTTGTGCAGTGCTTTTTTTCTAAAAAAATATTTAGGGGGTACTCTCATTTTGACTCAAGAAAATCACCATTTTATAGTTCAAATTGGGAAAAATAAATACAGGAAATAGAAAAAAAGTACATAGTTTCACAAAATGTTTAGGGGTATTCATCTCCCCAGAAAAAAAGCACTGGTTTTATGTATGTCTTCAGATATTTCCAGATATCTAAACTGGTTTTCTTTCTCTATCATGAGTTATACAAAGCCCAAAGAATGAATATATTTGTTGATTTATCATATGTTTTGCTTATTGATTGTTGTTTGAAACAATAATCTAGATTTTAAAAATAGATGTATTGTTTATAAGCTGTAAATAATGGAGTACCATAATCGCTGACCACTGGCCTTCTGACTGGGGATGATGGGAGCTGTCATCCAACAGCTTTGGGGGACCCAAGGTGAGGAAGGCTGCTCTGAAATACCACCGTTGCATCTATCCCAAACTGGATTGGGTTTCCCGCACCTGCCGTTTATTGCTCTCCTCTTTAGTTTAGCTCTGCCCAATCTTCCTTGAATCTTCTGTGCTGTTTTGGGAAAAGAGTATTGAAAATAGTATTGAAAAGATTTTATATTCTTTGAGTTCTAAACACACTGGCTTATTTTGAACAGTCTTTTCAGGCTTACTATAAACGAGAAATGAAGCAAAGAAGGAGAAGCTTTAAAAGGCTATAGGCCAGGGGTCAGCAACCTTTTTCAGCTGTGGGCTGGTCCACCGTCCCTCAGACCATGTGGTGGGCCGGACTATATTTTTTTGGGGGGTGGGGGGAAATGCCCCACAAATAACCCAGAGATGCATTTTAAATAAAAGCACACATTCTTCTCATGTAAAAACACGCTGGTTTCCGGACCATCTGCAGGCCGGATTGAGAAGGCGATTGGGCCAGATCCGGCCCACGGTCCTTAGGTTGCCTACCCTTGCTGTAGGCAATACTTGGTGCATTTCAGGGTTTCATTATCTTTCCTTTTGTACTGTACACATAAGATTTTTACACATACACTTAAAATGAATGTGACACACATGAATTACACTTAAAATGTGAATATGTAACATACAGTGCTCTCATAGTAATGTATGAATAGGCACTCAGAATAATGTTTGAAGGGTACAAAACTTACCCATTCAGGACAACTTATCAAATGTTTTAAAAAGGTATTTGGAAACCATAGGCAGGATTGAGTGAACATTTCCAGTGGCCTGGGCTTCAGTCCTTAAACCTGGACTGCAGTTTCCTGCATCATTCTTCACACATCACAATAATTAGCAGGAGGAAAATAAAGCTGAATAAGGTGATCTGTGAGCAGACTTGCCTAATGCATGTGTGGTCCAATTTCATTTTCCATTATGAAGTTTTTATTATTTCAGCTCTGAATATTAGGATAATCAGGAAGTGTCTGATTCAGGGGTAGAAAGCTTTCTCTCCAAATTTAATTCTAAGACATATTTTTCTTATATCTTTGCAGTGTGTGGTTAATACAGTGTCACAAATAGAAGAAATAGACACAGATGTGGTTGTTAAGTAAGTATAAAGTATAAAGCTTTGAGTTGCTATGAACTAGATTTACCATTTGCTTCTCTATCCGTGAATTGCCTACCAATTTTGTCCACATGCTTTTTACTTCTTTTTGGCATCTGTGCTTTTTCGCATAATTCCTATAACTTTGAAAGAGTGCATGTGTTGATCATGTGCAAACAGCAGAGGTGAAAATGGCAGGTCACGCAAGATACACTTTCTGAAATTCTCTCTCCTACATGGCATTGAAGGTGCAAAGCTTTATCTCCTTTTCCTCTGGTCATCATAGAGAGAGAGAGAATGAATTTTGAAAAACTTAAGGCTGCAATCCTATACACCAGTGGTTCCCAATTAGCTAGTTACTGAGGACGCCCTATTTTTCAAAAGCCAAGCCATGAACCCCCAAATTTTGAAAATGTTGATAACTCCACGGTAGTTTCCTGTACAAATGATTTTTTAAAAAGAAAATGTGGGGCAGCGCCTAATAAGGAAAGGATTTTAGGTATACTAAATAAAAAGGTAAAGGTACCCCTGCCCATACGGGCCAGTCTTGCCAGACTCTAGGGTTGTGCCCTCATCTCACTCTATAGGAGCCAGCGCTGTCCGCAGACACTTCCGGGTCATGTGGCCAGCGTGACAAGCTGCGTCTGGCGAGCCAGCGCAGCACACGGAACGCCGTTTACCTTCCCGCTGGTAAGTGGTCCCAATTTATCTACTTGCACCCGGGGGTGCTTTCGAACTGCTAGGTTGGCAAGCGCTGGGACCGAACAATGGGAGCGCACCCCGCCGCGGGGATTCGAACCGCCGACCATGCAATCAGCAAGTCCTAGGCGCTGAGGTTTTACCCACAGCGCCACCCACGTCCCCCATACTAAATAAGAGACTATAAAATTTGTGATATTACCTTTCAAAAATGACAAAGATTTAGTTGGCGGGAAGACCAATTTAATTTTATAAACATATAGTACAAGTGAACAAATTATGACATGTCTAGCAGCTACTAAGCATAAATAATAATAATAATGAACTTACTTACTTGCAACCCATCTGGCTAGGTTGCCCCAGCCACTCTGGGCACTTCCCAACAAAATGTTAAAAACACGCTGTCAGGTCTGTAGGTGGTTGCTCGCAAGTAAACAGCCAGGACTCCAACTTGTCTTTTACAGGTTTTATTGAGTTCAAACTATGTACAGTTGAGAAGTCCAAAGTTCATGTCTGTCTCAGTCGCTTGCAGGTTCCGGGAGTAGCCCCCCCCCCCAGCATAATAACTTAGACACCCCTCCGAATCTCTGCCTCCCCTCCTTACGTTTGATGCCTCTGCGCAAACTGGGCGACGGAAGCGGCATGATTGTTTCGCTACCAGCCTGGCTGAGAGAGGTGCTTGGGCTCAGCTCTCTGTGAGCTTTTGCCTCGCTTCCCCCCTCCTTCCCCCCTCTGCTTTGCCAGAGGCGTGACTCTCTCCACTCCCTGACGAAGTGCTACTGCTCATCGATGCTGGAGGCTCCCTGTAATCTTCTGCCCTCCTCCCCCCTTTCGATGGCAGTACCCTGACACACGCTAAACCTAAATGTGATGGGGAAAATCATGCCTCTTTTTGTTTCGAACAATCCCTTCCACATCTGGTTCAATTTTTCCTACTTTTATTCTCAAACCTGGTTCAACATCAAGCCAATTCTGTGCTTGCTCTTCATATAACAAAATGTTGAAAATGTTTGTTCACAAAGATATGTGGAACAAAAGGGAATTAGACATTTCAAAGCTTTTACACCTAACTTCTTATAATCAGCAAAAACCCAGAATTGGTCCAGTCTACATTCTTTGAAAAATGATTTCATTGATTCATCACAAGTCAAGTCAAGTGCATCTTGCTCTTCCGCAGATAGAGAATCAAAAGGATTCCTTATCCATGAGTTTTCAGGATTTGGTGCAGGGAAGTAATCTCTGAAGCTAGTTGCTAAATCACACAGGTGCTCAGTGATGTAATGTTTTACTTCTGGTATCAATTCTACGTCAGTGGCCTCCAGTGTGTTAGGGCAGTGTTTCCCAACCTTTTTTGGGCAAAGGCACACTTGTTTCATGAAAAAAATCTCGAGGCACACCACCATTAGAAAATGTTTAAAAAATTAACTCTGTGCCTATATTGACTATATATAAAGTATATATAAAGACTACGGATTTGTGTCACTGCCCATTTCCATGAAAGATTTATTCATGCATTTTGCACAATGCCACAATCCCACATGCAACTTTTAAAAAGGATGGGAAACACTGGGCTATGCAGCTGAGGGTGCACCGCTTATTGCCAGCAGTGCAAAATAGCTCTGCTTTGCTAATACCTGTTTAGCTGAGTAGGAAGGAGTTACAGTCCAGCAGCGTAGTCCTGTGTTATCCTAGTGCATTGGCCTTTTCAGGAAATTGGAGTCAGCGGGCACAGTTGTGAAAGCAGGGGACAGATTGGAGGTTTCAGCCTTGGGTATCTGGATGCCTGGCCTACCCAAAGATGGAAAGCAAGGGCAGAGGAGCAGACCTGGTTGCTGTCTGACTGTATGCTTAGAGCAGGGCTGGAGAAGGGGCGTGGGGCGGGGCTGACGTTGTCGGTCATCTGGAGGCCTGCCCCGGAGAGACGGAGGCACGCACTCCCCTGGACCACCTTGACGCGCATGTCGTAACCCGGGTCACCTCAGTCGTGCGAATGCGCACCCAGCCAGGCCTCCCCCGCCGCGCTTCCCATTGCTGGGATTTGCCCGGCTTTCAGTCTCAAGGGAGGGAGGGAGGCTGCTCAAGACGCGAGTCGGAGGGGCGGCCTTCCGGCGGCTACGAGGGAGGATTTCGCCCCGCCGCCTCCACGACCAGGCCTTCGCTTCACCCAGGCGCCCCATCCCTCCACCTTTTGCACGCGCCTCCTTCCCGCACGCTTATGCACCCGTTCTTACGTGCAAAAGGCGACGGCAACTGCAGCTCCTCCTCCTCTAGAGACGAGGCGGGCGCTTGCTGCTGCTGCCACTCGCTGGAAGCTCGCGATGGCTCTCCGTCAGCGAAGGCTTAATGGTTCCTCCCCTCCTCCTCCCCCCCCCCGCTTCCAGGACGAATGGTACAGCCGGAGAAAGAGCGACACTCGAACTCCCGTGAGGAGGAGGAGCCTCCGACTCCCCTTAACACCTTCCGCGCCAGCTGCGGCTCTCCCTCTCTTACAACAGCCCTTCGCATTTCAAGCGGTATCTCCTACCACTTTAAAGAGCGGCGACTTACCCCCCCCCCCAAGGAATCCTGGGAACTGTATTTTGTTAAGGGTGCTGAGAACCGTTAGACTCCCACGGCACACCAGGCAACATCTTGCGGCACACTAGTGTGCCGCGGAACACTGGTTGGGAAACACTGTGTTAGGGTGTTAGTTATTTTCAGCTAAAAAGTAGAGAGCAAGGGGAAGGAATCCCTAATATTTTTAAAAATGTGAATCCTCCCTGTGGAGCAAGGGTTTGCACTCCTCCTCTCTCCCCCTCTCTCTGCCCCCCCCCCCAAGTTGCCCTGGCAGAGGATGGTCCCACAGACCCCCTGGGTGCATTATGTGGACCCCCAGGGGTCCCTGGACCCCTGACTGGGAACCACTGCTATACAGTCTTACCTAGAATAAGATCCACAGAATTCCATGGCACTTACCTCTGAGTACACATACATAGGTCTTCAATCCTTTGCATATCTACTCAGAAGTAAGTTCAAGTGTATCTAATGGGGCATACTTCAAAATAAGTGAGTATAGAATTGCAGTTTAAGCATCAAAACCTCAGGCATAACTAGGAGATCAGGCAGGCAAATTCTTCCAAAGCAAAAAATGTTGTATGACACTAAAAAGGCCAGTGCTAATATTTTAAACACATATTTGCAATCCACTCTCATTGATCCTTTTTTGCTGGGAAAAGAAAAAGCTGCTTCAGTTTCTAATTTGTAGTTAGAGGGCAATTCAGTTTTGAAAATGTATTCCACTTGGTTAATCTCAAAAACTCGGAGGATTTCGGCTATAATTCTGTTGAAAGACTAATTGTTTAACTGTCCATTTACTTCTCATGATTTCCTTCTTTTTTCAATTACAGATTTAAAAACATTGTGTCATGTAATTGTTTATCATTCTAGAAGTGTGTTTTGGCAATACTAGAAAAACTGATTAAATTTTAGCATTTTCCCTTGGCAGGAAAAAACCACAATAAATGCACAATTCTGTGAATGTCAGCTCAGAAGTAAGATCCATTGAGTTAATGGTCTTACTGCCAGGTTTGTGTATTGTGTTGCAGCCTAACCTTAGTTACTTTTTCTCCTTGAGAGCTATAATTATTGCTTTCATAGGAATTAAAACAAATTGACATGTTCCATTTTTAAAGGAACAAGTTTTAAATCTTAACCAACCCATTCTCTGTTCTGACACTATTAGCTGTGCTGGACATAATGATAAATCAAATTTTATCATGGTGGAAATGATTTGCAATAAGGCTTGGATTACATGTTGCCTCCTACCTGCTCCTCTTCTGGCACAGCTGTGAGGCCCTAGGAAAAATTGACAACTTTCATTTTTGTGTTTGATTAACCACAGTATGCCATTTCTTCAAAGTCCAACTAACTGGTCAATCTTAAGAATGGTTTGTTGAAAGAAGTGAACTCAAGTAACAAGCTGTGAAACTGACTTGTTTCAACAAACAATAGTTAAGATTAGCTTCTGTTTAGGGTTCAGATGTAATGATAAACTCCAGTTAATCAAAAAATAGAAGTGAAAGCTTTAAATCTCCTCCTGGAGGAGAGGGGAGGGTGAAGTGTGGGAGCTGAGACCACCTGCTGCTTATTCTCATCAGGATAAACCATGATTTAATCCCCGCAACGGGGTGAGCTCCCGTTGCTCGGTCCCAGCTCCTGCCAACCTAGCAGTTCGAAAGCACGAAGTGCAAGTAGATAAATAGCTACAGCGGGGATGTAAACGGTGTTTCCGTGTGCTGCTCTGGTTTGCTAGAAGCTGCTTAGTCATGCCGGCCACATGACTGTATGCTGTATGCTGGCTCCCTCGGCCAGTAAAGCGAGATGAGCGCTGCAACCCCAGAGTCATCCATGACTGGACCTAATGGTCAGGGGTCCCTTTAGCTTTACATGTACTACAGAATTATCTGCAAAGTTCCTGAAAGTCTTCAGTTTCTGAAACCTCAGAATAAAATTTTGCTACAGAAATTATGTAAACATAATTTAATGTTAATCTTCTTCATCATTTTTATTAATGCATCCCCCCCCCGAGGTGTACTGTTAGTCTTTGTATCATTCACCATAATAATAGCACTGTGAGGTAGACCTTAATATACCTTTTTAGAGATAGGAAGCTGAGCCTGAGAAGCTGAAGACAGAACTGGCAAGGATGTACCCAAGGCCACCTTACAGGATGAGAGTTAAACTGAGTTTAAATGAAATTGTAATTATTGTTATATGGTATTCTTCATAGACTTGCAGATCAAATGAGGATGATGAATTTTCCACAGTGGTTTGATCTACTGAAAGATATATTTTCTAATTTTATTTTATTTCTCAAGAGAATTAAGGTAAGAAGTGTACTTTATAGACTTTATATTGTTATTACACCAATTGAATTTTGATACATTTGGACTTGGGTCTCTTGCATCAGCTGAGTGAGTTTTCATGAAAGGCATTGGAGAGTCCTCTGCCATTATCCAAAAGCAGGCAGACTGAATCTCAGGCAATACTTCACTGCCCCTTGCTCAGAGCATAATCCCATTGGCAGGTTAATTGTTCTTCAAAGCTGAATCGCTGACATCCCGGGGCCTCTTAGGAGAATCACATTTTAAACTGAGAGATCAAGCCTTAAGGCTCCTGCCTATAAGTTACCCAGAGGTATTGCTTCAGCTGAGTGTTAATTTTTACCCTCCTTTGTTAGATTTACAGTACACTTCTGAATGAATTGTATCCTTGTATGGCATTATAATTTATTTGTACAGCTGGAAATGGAAGTGAAAATTACCACAATTCACATGTTCCTCTGAGGTCAGGAATGGAAATCATACAAGCAAATACAGTGGACACTCGGGTTGTGAACATGATCCGTGTGAGATGCAAGTTCGCAACCTGCAGCGTTCGCAACCCACATCTGCGCACACGTGGGTTGCAATTTGGCGCTTCTGCGCATGTGCAAAGCACAATTTAGCGCTTCTACGTATGCGCGACCGCCGAAACCCGGAAGTAACCAGTTCCGGTACTTCCGGGTTTCGGCAGTCCGCAACCCAAAAAAACACAACCTGAAGCAGCTGTAACCCGAGATATGACTGTATAAGCAGTATTCACAATCTTTTTACTGTGCAAATATTACACGATTGCATTATTTTCTACATTTTTTTATGTCTCCCTTCCATTGGAATTTATTGGCGTTAATTACGCAATTAACTACACTAGTTTCAGACATAGCAGATAGTGAGATGAATAATGTAGATTTTAGGAGAAGCTAAACTGCAGTGGAACAGGAAACGGTGCTGATTGTGAGGAACACAGGGTGGTGCGGAAATCACTGTTTCCTTCCATCCCTAGCTCTACAGTGTAACAAAACTAGATTCAACATTGTGGTGTGGGAAAATATTGTGAATTTCTTCATCAATTAAATCTCTCTATGTGCTGATAATTCTAGAACTCTGAAATTGATACCGTACCTTAGATCAAGCCCTGAAAGATAACACTATCATTATTAATGTTTCATGTTTTATCCTTTTAGAAAAATATTTGGGGAAATGGCCTAATGGCGTAAGTGGCATAAATTTATTGGCCTTAGTTTTAAAAGTCTGCCAGCCACTTTTTGCAGAATTCATATGAACCACCATGATTATTGCATTTAGCAAGTGACAGAAGATGTTATGGGGCAGCATAAATGATGTAAACATAGTGGATATGAATCATTCTGTTGTGTTCAGATTTTGCAGTATTTAAAATAGAAACATTCTTGCTAAAAGTTGTACTCTTCAAGGAATTCAGCACTGTCTCAATTTTTTTAACCAGCACTTATTTTGTCTTAGGCAACACTAAATGTTATCAGAAGAGTGGTTCTCTTGGTTCTAGACAAGAACCAGAGGAGCAAGGAACTGGGTGATACTTCTGCTCAGAAGAACTCTGCAAAGGACAGTTCCATAGACGCAGAACTGGTGTATCTGGCGCATGAGGGCATGTTCATAAGTGATGCCTTCAGTGAAGGAGACGTCCCGTCTGCAGCAGCTTATTCTGCCTCTCAGAGAAACCTTTCCCCAGACAGTGAGCCCAGCAGCAGCGACTCTGTATCTGAGCCAGAATGTACCACTGACTCCTCATCTAGCAAGGAACAGACTTCGTCCAGCATTACACCAGGTGGAATTGACATCATGTAGGTAGTAAAAAAAAAAAAAGCAGGATTCAGTCCCCGCTGCAGCTAAACAAATTAACGAAATTAGCACAAATTCACTGCTTTTAAATTTGAAATTGAAAGTAAACTTTCCCAGATGCTCTAAAAATGTGAGCCTAAAACTCAGTTTCAAGTTTAATGCATATTCTGCCCATGTTGGCTTCTCAACCCTTGAGTCTTAACACCTTCAGTTTCATAGCATTCTGTAGGTTGTACCCAACAGGGTCTTATGGGGACACTGCAGAGAAGATGTGAGAAGCAGGAAGGCTGCAGGGGAGAAGAGAAGAAGGGGAAGTCACGGTGTGTGAATGGAAGTCTGCTCATTCAGCCTCAGCCATTAACTTGGCTTCTCTTTTGAATGTGATGATATAAATTTATGACTGCGCTCTATGATATGATAATAAATTGTCCCTCCCATTTTCATTTCAGATCTAATATGATATAAGTATTCCAAATTTTGAGGACGCGGGTGGCGCTGTGGGTAAAAGCCTCAGTGCCTAGGACTTGCCGATCGAAAGGTCGGCAGTTCGAATCCCCGCGGCGGGGTGCGCTCCTGTTGCTTGGTCCCAGCGCCTGCCAACCTAGCAGTTCGAAAGCACCCTCGGGTGCAAGTAGATAAATAGGGACCACTTACTAGCGGGAAGGTAAACGGCGTTTCCGTGTGCTGCGCTGGCTCGCCAGATGCAGCTTGTCACGCTGGCCACGTGACCCGGAAGTGTCTCCGGACAGCGCTGGCCCCCGGCCTCTAGAGTGAGATGAGCGCACAACCCTAGAGTCTGTCAAGACTGGCCCGTATGGGCAGGGGTACCTTTACCTTTACCTATTCCAAATTTTGAAGCCCTTTGTTTTTAGTTGCAGTTAATTACACCTGAAGAGCTTTGCAGATTCTTTCTTCTTTTCTTACCTTTACTTTTCTCTGGTCTCTGTTTGCCCTGTTTAAGAGCCCTAGCTGTCTTCCCTGACACCCATATGAGTTAGGAATGGGTTTCAGTCCTCCTTTTTGGCTTCACTGATGCACCATATGGACATAGAATTTCCTGTGTTTGAGAGTAGATATTATACAGAGAGCAAGGCATAGACGCCACAACAGTGAGGTTACCAGCCACCCACAGCCTTTCCCTGTCATGATATTTGGTAACATCTTGGACCAGCCTTAGTTGGAGAACACTTGTGGCCACTCAACAAGTCAAAAGGCAGATCTTTAATATTTTTCCCCATTTCATTTCTATACAGCCTCATATTTTTAGGGAAAAACCTGAATGCAGTTTACAGCACATTTAAGTATTAAATAAAACAACCCAGAATAAAACATTACTGAAGGAAGTCACATATAAAGTATACATTCAAAGCAACATGATTAACAGGAAACTAAAATATTATCTTAAAGATGTCAGGAAAAAAACATTACAAAGGAGATAAACTACGGGATGCACACTTAACACAGCAAATAAAGCAAAACAGACATCTTACACATTTAAAAAGAAAGCATTGCTAAAGGAAATAAAATATAAAATGCACATTTAGAATGGCATAAATAACGAGAGAATAAAATATGATCATAAGCATAGAACATATCTGCAACTGTTGCTGCCAGTCCTGCCAATGGTGGTTCATGGCGGGTGGCAGCTGTGGAAGCTGCCAATATTCTTCCCTCTCTGGAAATAGCATGTTGGAAACACTCAGGTTAGTGTATACTATGTTAAACAAAAATGTGTTCTAGTGGAATGGTGTGTAAATAATGTAAACACGGTGTAAAAGACTTAAATGATCAGTAATTGGCCATCAATTGCTTGGTTTTTTGTTTTTTAATTTTGGTCTTTTGGTATATATTATTTGTCACTTCACTTGCTGCTGCTATCTATTGGACAGTTGAAAAGTCAATTCTGCTCCAGTTCAGAGATTGTTATTGACATCAAAATGCAAAGTTCTCATTGTCTATGTAGTTGCATGTGAATCATTTCCTTTTTTGAGCAGACTAAGGGGGCACTGGATTGTTTCAGCTGAAAATTATGTGTCAACAAAGTCTTCCTTCTATTTCTTTCAGGATTGGTGAGGACATAAAGCTCTCAGAACTGGAACTAGGTAGATTAGCAAACAATATCCAGGACCTACTTTACAGTGCCTCTGATATTTGCCATGATCGTTCTGTCAAGTTCCTAATGGCTAGAGCAAAAGTAAGTTCCATGCATATACCTGCGTCCCAGAAGAGGTCCAGCTAGGGTCATTAATGTAATCATGTCCTTACACCTGGACCCAACACAGTCAACAGGACTGATGTCTAAAAATAGCCTGAAAGTTGGAAAGGGCTTTGCTTTATATTTGAGATGATATTCATACAATAGCCCAGGGTGAGGAACTGTTGGCGGTTCAGGTCACTCACCTGTCAGTCACCTGATGACATAATGATATTAGATAGTCCATGCTGATGGCGCTTTCCTTACTGCATAGCCTTTTCAGTCTTTATAATGGGGTAGGATAACAATGAAAATAGTTAAGATGCTGTTACATCACCTTTTTCATTTAGGATGGGTTCCTGGAGAAATTGAACTCTACAGAGTTTGTTGCTCTTTCGCGACTGATGGAAACTTTCATCTTGGATACAGAACAAATCTGTGGTAGGAAGAGTATGTCATTGCGTGGTGCACTTCAGAGTCAAGCTAACAGATTTGTAAACAGATTCCATGAGGAAAGAAAGACCAAACTCAGGTATCTTTCTGTGATTATGTACATATTTGCTTCAAGGCTCCTTAATGCAACAGCTCCTGGAGCTTCCCACTACCACCACCTTTCGTAATGAAAGGGCAAACGGTGGGAGAAATGTGCTCCATAAGAGCCATCTGCCTCAGGGTTGGGTAGTTTAGCCCAGTGCCATTTCTGTTGCTTATAACTCCTTCCCATTCCAGCCTCTATTTGGTATCAGGTTTTTCCCTGAGTTATATGGCGTTGTTCTTAGCTCAGAGCAAAGTCAGGTGGCTAAATTGTTTGGCTAAAGTGTGTTGTCTGATCTGATGAACCAGGGTTCAAATCCCTTTTCATGAAGCTCACAGGGTGACCTTGGACCAGTCGCCAACACTCAGCCTAACCTGCCCCACAGGGTTATTGTGAGGATAACTGAGGATGGGGGAAAGAGTCATGGGCACCACCTTGAGCTCCTTAGAGGTGGAATATAAATGCAATAATAAACAGTCAAAGAAAAAACAACCCAGTAGTTTAATCTGAGGCCCAGTGTACACATAAACAGTAACAACTTTCTGTGCATTGCATCATGTGAAAAGTGAGGAGCTGCTTCCTATAAAGTTACCCAGTTTTGGCGTTACAGTTAACAGAGGTGGTTTAGTTGAAGTTGTCCAAACTGTATGGGAACTCACTTCACACAAATGCCTTTCCACATCTTACTGATGGCCACACATGTGGCTCACTGGATGTATGAGTTGGAATGAAATCTCTTGATGGTCAGACTGCCTCATGAATTTTCATTCTCATTTATTTCCATAAGGCTTTTGCCAGTACAGCTTTCTTTAGTATGCCTGCCACTGATTAGGATTTGAATCAATTGACTATTTCATGATTTCATCCTGGTAAGAAATTTGAAATCAGTACGGACACATAGCTCTTCAAGGCAATGTGTTCTAATTTTTGAACTCCCCCTTCCTTTATGTGTCTAAATAGCCTCCTGCTAGATAACGAGCGCTGGAAGCAAGCTGATGTTCCGGCAGAGTTTCAGGATCTTGTGGATTCTATATCAGATGGCAGAATTGCTTTACCAGAAAAAAAAACAGGAGGTGAGTTTCTTGGCTCCTTGTTACTTTAGTAATTTTCATGTGGACATGATGCTGCAAAATGTTGACAGGCAAATTTTATGTTTCTGGAGCAGTAGACCGTTTTTAAAGGGTTAATTTACTTTGAAGCACAGTAGCAAACTGAGGATGTTCAACCAAATTAAAAGAAGAGAAAAGGCAAAGGCCGGAGGGTGGGAGTTGGGAAGGTTTGTCACACCTTGCAGGGCAGCCTCCTCAGGGGGGCTGCCACCCATGTCCCACCCACCACTGACTGCAGCCTCTTGCTCCTCCCCTCCCATCTCAGGGCAAGGTTCAGGACAAGGAAGGGGATGCTTCCACCCTAGAATCTATCCTGGCTCGCTTAATGGCAGCAGCTGGAGCGGCCCAAAACAAATAAACCTTCATACGGCAAAGAGACTGGAGCTCCCATGTCAGCCCACTTGCAGCATGCTCATTGGCCAGAAAAGCACTGCCTGCCCGTCCACGGGACAGGAATTCCCTTTACCAACACTACCACTTCCTTCTGTTTCTTTCTTTTTCTCTGCTTTATCAGTGGAGAAGACATTCAAAGCTTCAGAAAACAAACCAAAGCAAGGTTCCACTTCGATCCAAATGAAAGCAAAGTTCTGAACCAAAATAAGCTATCTGAAGCAGGATTTGGTTTTCCCTGTGCACTCTCTCTCTCCCACCCACTTTTGGGGCTTCCCTGCAACCTTCTCCGCCATACAAGGCTGCTGTGTCCTCCCTCCCCGACTCTTCTTAGCTACATATCCCCTCAAACTTGCCTGTTTCACCCTCCTGAGTAGGAGGAAAGGGGTTGCTGGGAATTCAGTCCAACAGAAGTGGCTGGAAGTTAAGGATTCCCCCCCCCCCAATTCCCAGTTTTTGCTGATGTGGATAGTTGAGAGCAGCAAGCGCCTGAAGGGAACATGCCCCCCCCATGTTTGTGAGAGAATCCTGTGTGCTACAAGTTGCATGGGCGGTGCATGGAGGGAAGCGGGTTCTTCAGCCGAGCCCCTGTCCATACTTTCTAACTAAGAGCATGCCTTGCACCTCTGCATTGTAAAGTACATAGAGGGACTCTGTTGAAGAACCTGCTTCCCTCTGCACCTGAGCATGCGCCGGGGGACTAAGCTAGTCCCTCCGCTTCACGGACTGCATGCCAGTGTTATAAAGTGGAAATGGAGGAGTAAAGTACAGGGTAATTTTCATCCCTGGCCCTTTTTTTAAAGAGACAGTTGCAGTGTTATTTGTGTTGGTTTTAATTTTAGATCCCCCCCTTTTTTTATTCAATTGTTTTAGCACCTGAAGAAAGAAAGCCAACTGACTTCCTTGTTGTTGATGGACAAAAATATGCTGTAGTTGGGTAAGACATGTGTGTTCCCCATCATGGCAAGTTCACTTTTGAATATTAAAATATTTATTAGTTTTTGTGAAAGTTGAGGAAAACTCCCGAGTAAGTCTCCTGCATATAATTCCCTTTTTAAAATCCTCAGCAAATTTCAGTCAAATGTTTGTTTTCTTTCTTTTGATCTTATCAGGTGATAATTTGGGTTCCTCCAAAATCAGTAGCCAGAGATATTATATGGTACATACCACACCAGTATTTCTGTTTTAAGTCTCTGCTGTGTGCTCTGAACTTAATGTTTAGGAAATGCTAGTAAAAAGAAAAATTTAAAAATAAGATTTTTTTTAAAAAGTTTTTCATCTAATTGATGTTGCTGCTCTGACCCCAATGTACAGTTGGGATAGCAATAATTAAGTAAGAGTAGGAATATTTAAAAGAAGAGGAAGTACGGTAAATTTATATGATTTATCTAAAAGTGAATTGATCAACAAATGAAAGTGGTTCATTAACTTTGATGCCTGTTTTTTTCTGGGTTGAGCCTCTAGAATATAAAAGAGAAACTGGTATGCATTAGTATTTTTATGTTTTAGCTGAAGATTGTACTGTTAATGCTGGATTCCCTTTTTATATTGTTACATTTATGTCCCGCTCTTCCTCCCAAGTTGCTCAAGGTGGTGTATATGGTACTCCCCCTTATTCTGTAAGGTAGGTTATGCTAAGAGACTGTGACTGGCCCAAGATCAATCAATGGAATTAATGTCCGAGTGAGGACTTGAACCCTGCTCTCCCAGTTCCTAGTCCAACACTCTAACCACTCCACCAATCTACTGTATATTTTGAAACTTTGTCTATCTAACCACCTATGCATTCAGTCATCACTTAAGATATCTTAACCAAATTTGGCAGGGTGGTTCTAGAGGTCATAGAGGAGTACTTTGTCTATTTTGGATAGGTTGCTGTTGGCTTCTTAGAATTGCTGAGCACTCCGTGTGTGTGTGTGTGTGTGTGTGTGTGTGTGTGTGTGTAGTCACAGCAGTATACTTCGTTGAAATAACTTCGGATCTTTTACCATTTTGCTGCAGAAAATTGCACCCTCCTACTCCGTCAAAAACACATTGGTAGTTGGTATTTGTGACTTTCCCTAAAATGCACCATCTCTTTCACTGACCATAAGCTAGCTCTACTGAAGCCAGTGAGAATTTCCCCATTTAATTCAATAGCATATGAGCTGAACTCACCTGGAAAGTAAAATTCAGGAGCCACAGTAGAAATTGGCAGGCAATGGTGTTGGCTAATAGCAAAAGATGAGAAGGAGAAGGTTGAAGTGTGTTTTTAAAGAGGTTTTGATGACTTGCAGTCTGAGTGTCTATGTTTGATTCTTTGTCTTGCAGGACAGTGTTGTTGTTAATTAGAATCATCCTTGAATACTGCCAGTGTGTGGACAGCATCCCCTCAATAGCTACTGACATGCTTACCCGTCTGTCTGATTTACTAAAGGTACAGCTCCCTCAGATCTTTCCTAAAATGCAGGGGATGTACCTTGCTTTTTAAAATATATTTTTATGAAATGGCTTTATGAAAATAAATAGCTATGGTCAAGGAAAATGTGGGGGGGAAATAGCTTAACTGTTAACATCAGAAAACTTGTGTAGGACTTTGAACTCTTTTTGATGCACACAAAAGTTTGTAAGAGAGCTTTCTCTTCATTTTTTCACCTTGTGGGATGCCAAGCAACTCCCAGTGTTCATAGAATCATAGAATCATAGAGTTGGAAGAGACCACAAGGGCCATCGAGTCCAACCCCCTGCCAAGCAGGAAACACCATCAGAGCACTCCTGACATATGGTTGTCAAGCCTCTGCTTAAAGACCTCCAAAGAAGGAGACTCCACCACACTCCTTGGCAGCAAATTCCACTGTCGAACAGCTCTTACTGTCAGGAAGTTCTTCCTAATGTTTAGGTGGATTCTTCTTTCTTGTAGTTTGGATCCATTGCTCCAACAACCTTTCTCCCTCCTCTATGTGACATCCTTTTATATATTTGAACATGGCTATCATATCACCCCTTAACCTCCTCTTCTCCAGGCTAAACATGCCCAGCTCCTTTAGCCGTTCCTCATAAGGCATCATTTCCAGGCCTTTGACCATTTTGGTTGCCCTCCTCTGGACACGTTCCAGTTTGTCAGTGTCCTTCTTGAACTGTGGTGCCCAGAACTGGACACAGTACTCCAGGTGAGGTCTGACCAGAGCAGAATACAGTGGCACTATTACTTCCCTTGATCTAGATGCTATACTCCTATTGATGAGGCCCAGAATTGCATTGGCTTTTTTAGCTGCCGCGTCACATTGTTGGCTCATGTCAAGTTTGTGGTCAACCAAGACTCCTAGATCCTTTTCACATGTACTGCTCTCAAGCCAGGTGTCACCCATCTTGTATTTGTGCCTCTCATTTTTTTTGCCCAAGTGCAATACTTTACATTTCTCCCTGTTAAAATTCATCTTGTTTGTTTTGGCCCAGTTCTCTAATCTGTCAAGGTCGTTTTGAAGTGTGATCCTGTCCTCTGGGGTGTTAGCCACCCCTCCCAGTTTGGTGTCATCTGCAAATTTGATCAGGATGCCCTTGAGTCCATCATCCAAGTCGTTGATAAAGATGTTGAATAAGACCGGGCCCAAGACAGAACCCTGTGGCACCCCACTAGTCACTCTTCTCCAGGATGAAGAGGAACCATTGATGAGCACCCTTTGGGTTCGGTCAGTCAGCCAGTTACAAATCCACTGAGTGGTAGCATAGTCAAGACCGCATTTTACCAGCTTCTTTACAAGAATATCATGGGGCACCTTGTCAAATGCCTTGCTGAAATCAAGGTAGACTACATCCACTGCGTTCCCTTCATCTACCAGGCTTGTAATTCTGTCAAAAAACGAGATCAGGTTAGTCTGACATGACTTATTTTTCAGAAATCCATGCTGACTATTGGTGATCACAGCATTCCTTTCTAGGTGCTCACAGACTGTTTGCTTAATGATCTGCTCCAGAATCTTCCCTGGTATTGATGTCAGACTGACTGGGCGGTAATTATTTGGGTCCTCTCTTTTCCCCTTTTTGAAAATAGGGACAACATTTGCCCTCCTCCAGTCTGCCGGGACTTCGCCTGTTCTCCAGGAATTCTCAAAGATGACTGCCAGTGGTTCTGAAATCACATCTGCCAGTTCTTTTAATACTCTTGGATGCAGTTCATCTGGCCCTGGAGACTTGAATACATCTAGAATAGCCAAGTATTCTTGTACTATCTCCTTAGTTATTCTGGGCTGTGTTTCCTCTGCTGAATCATTTGCTCCAAATTCTTCAGGTCGGGCATTGTTTTCTTTATCGGAGAAGACGGAGGCAAAGAAGGCATTGAGGAGTTCAGCCCTTTCTGTGTCCCCTGTTTGCATTTCACCATCTTCTCCTCTGAGTGACCCCACGGTTTCTTTGTTCTTCCTTTTGCTACGAACATACCCATAAAAGCCTTTTTTGTTGCTTTTAACCTCTCTAGCAAGCCTGAGTTCATTTTGTGCTTTAGCTTTTCTGACTTTGTGTCTACACGTGCTGGCTATTTGTTTGAATTCCTCTTTGGTGGTTTCCCCCCTTTTCCATTTTTTGTACACATCCTTTTTTAATCTTAACTCAGTTAAAAGTTCTTTAGATAGCCACCCTGGCTTCTTTAGGCACCTTCCATGTTTCCGTCTCATTGGTATTGCCTGAAGTTGTGCTTTTACTATCTCCCTCTTAACAAACTCCCAGCCATCTTGAACTCCCTTTCCTTTTAGTATTACTGTCCATGGGATCTCACCCAGCACTTCCCTAAGCTTTATGAAGTCGGCTTTCTTAAAGTCGAGAAATTGAGTCCTAGTATGCTTGGCTGCTCCTTTCCGCTGTATAGTAAACTTCAGAAGAGCATGATCACTCGCGCCTAATGATCCTTCCACTTCTACCCCACTAACCAGGTCATCAACATTGGTTAGGACCAGATCTAAAATGGCTGTTCCTCTTGTTGCTTCTCCCACTTTCTGGACAATGAAGTTGTCTGCAAGGGCAGTGAGGAATCTGTTTGACCTTATGCTCTTGGCTGAGTTTGACATCCAACAAATATCCGGGTAATTGAAGTCCCCCATTACTACTATCTCCCTTCCTTTTGCATGCTTGGCCATCTGTTCCAGGAAGGCATCATCTATGTCCTCCGTTTGGCTTGGGGATCTATAGTAAACTCCCACAATGAGGTCACTGTTATTCTTCTCTCCCTTAATTTTGACCCAAATGCTCTCACTTTGGCTTTGAGGTTCTAAATCTTGGATCTCTTCACAGGTATACACATCCCTGACATATAACGCCACTCCTCCTCCTTTCTTGTCTGGTCTGTTTCTTTGAAATAGATTGTATCCCTCCATTATTACATTCCAATCGTGGGATTTATCCCACCAGGTTTCAGTGATTCCTATTATGTCATATTTAGTTTGCTGTACCAGGAGCTCAAGCTCATCTTGTTTATTTCCCATGCTTTGCGCATTAGTGTACAGACATTGAAGTCCATTAATCATTCCCCCGTGTCTCTTATTTAAGGATTTTCTCCTCCCACCACTAGGTCTGCATGCTCTTTGCTCCATTCGGTCTATGACATTTGGATGATCATCTTCATCAATTGATAGACTCCTACCTTCAGGAGCACTGTCTCCCTCCCCCACATTAGTCAGTTTAAAGCCCTCCTGATGAGGTTTCTGAGATTTTTTGCAAAAACATTCCTCCCAACCGTTGTGAGGTGCAGCCCATCGCTTGCCAGAAGTCCATCTTCAAGAAACTGCATTCCGTGATCTAAGAATCCAAACCGTTCCTGTTTGCACCATTTGCGAAGCCAGTTGTTCACTTCCACTATTTTTCCCTCTCTCCCTGGGCCACGTCGTTCAACTGGGAGGACAGATGAGATGACAATTTGTGCATTTAATTGCTTCAATTTCCTGCCCAGAGCCTCGTAATCTCTTTTGATCTTCTGGAGGCTATTGCTTGCAGTGTCATTGGTTCCCACATGAACCAAGAGGAAGGGGTATTTGTCAGTGGGTTTTATGATTCCTTGCAGTCGTTCAGTTACATCTTGGATCTTAGCCCCGGGGAGACAGCACACTTCCCGAGACATCTTGTCAGGCCCACAGATCACTGCTTCTGTTCCCCTCAGTAGGGAATCCCCTATCACCACTACACGCCTCCTCTTAGGTCTGGTCGGGGTTCTTCTGTGAGCTGTCAGTTCCAAGGTCGCCTGGACATTCCCAGAGGACTGCCTTTGCTCCTCGTCTTCATATACCTGATCGACTGTAATGAGGGAGAGATCCTCAAATGGAGTCTGCTCTTCGTCTTCCATGCTAGGGGAAAGGACCTCAAAGCGATTGCGTATTTCTAAACAATCAGAGCGAACCCTGGGCCTCCTACTTCTTTGAGTCACGTTTCTCCATATATCTGGCTCCTGTGTTGGTGAACTAGCCACCTTCTCAGGGGAGTCCCCTGTCTCTTCCTTGGTGGAGACGGTGTGCTCTGTTGCTTCCAAGAAGAGTTCCAGCTCTCTAATTCTTTGGAGCGTAGCTACACGTTCCTCCAGTTGCTGGACTTTGTCTTTTAAGAGGGCAATCAACATGCAATTGCTGCAGGTAAAGCTGCCTGCAACCTTTGGCAAGATGGCAAACATTGCGCAGGAACCACAGGCGACTGCAGCTGTTCCCTCACCCTCCATCTTGGGAACGTGTCGTTGGGGGTGACTACAGTGGTCCTCTATCATAAAAAGTGTGGAGACAGGACAAATAAATCCCTCCCAAAAAACCTAGGTCTCCCCCAACAAATGTTTGAGACTAGCTCCCCTAAATCTAAAATATGGATCAAACTGACCTTTGCCCAGAGAGAGCAGCTAAACAGCCACAAGAAACTCACACAGGAAAACCCTTTGATATTTAAGCCATATGCCTTCCCTCCGTCCTGTTGAATGTCATTATTAATTTTTGTGCTGCTCCTAACTCACAGCCAGCTGGATCAGCTTCAGACACTGAGATTAAACCACAAATTAGTAAAACAAAGAATAACTTAATCTATAACTGAACAAATTCAAAGGCCTTGCCTTGTGCTTTGAAAGACCATTTGACTTAATGCTGCTATTAAAGGCCAGTAGTTTCAGTTTCTTGGAAGAGTTGTTTGTTTCTTTTTTTAGCACTAAGGTGCTGATTTCTGCAAGTATCTAGCTGGAATAAAATAAGTACTGTGGCATTGCATGTCTCAGAAAAACTAAGAACTTGGTAATTGTTGTCTTAGCTTTCCATGAGGAAGCGAGAATCATAAATGTTGGAAGGGATCCCAGTGTTCATCTAGTCCCCCCCCCCCGTACGATACAGAATCTGCACTAAGAATGTTAGAACAACAGTTCATGGAAAGAGGCTTTTCAAGCTCACGTCTCTCCTCCACACTCCTAGAACCCTCTCCAGAGGCTCTGGGGGACGTAGTCCAGCTGGGTCAGACTAAAGCACTTTCCAGTCAAGCAGCAACCAGTTTTTCACCATGCCCTCTCCTCTCCCACTCTTTCCCCCCAGCAACTGGTGTTTGGAGACATGCTACCTCGGATGCTGAGATGGTGCACAGCTATCATAACTTGTACCCTTATCTTCCATGAATTTGTCTATAAGATCATAAGATAACTACAACATGACTCCCAGTTCCCATCAGCCACTGTGTTACTGTTTACCTTTCTCTCTTTCTCAGTATTTCAACTCAAGAAGTTGTCAGCTAGTGCTTGGAGCAGGTGCCCTGCAAGTGGTTGGCTTGAAAACAATAACTACAAAAAATTTAGGTATGGATTTGGCTTAAACTTTCTATGGTCATGTAAATTCCCTTTTCATTTTTCTAAAGAAACTTCGAGTAGGCAGCTTTTCCAGAACATATTTTTGTGGTTGTAATGTGGTTGTATTGCAAATTCTTTTATGGGCAGTATGTGAAGGAGCTAGCATGCAATAGATATTTTAAAATTCAGTTCATGAAAAAGAGCTGCCTTCTGATTAACTTTTGTGTACTGGCACAGTAAGCCTTAGGAACATGCTGTTGGTGAATTTCTAAAATAAAAGTAGTATTTCCTCATGCAGAATGCTGTGCATATTTTCTTTATTGCAGTTTGCATAGGAAAAGATCTCATAGTATAGTAATAGCTCTTCTGTGTTGTTTTCTTCTGTTTTCTTCTCTGTCTTCACAGCCCTCTCATCACGCTGCCTACAGCTCATAGTGCACTACATTCCTGTTATCAGAGCTCACTTTGAAGCTCGCCTGCAACCCAAACAGTTCAGCATGCTTAGGCATTTTGACCACATTACCAAGGTATTTTTCTAATAATTTTCTGGATTGAAATACCTTGTTACTATTGTTGTTGTTATTAGGTAAGAAAAACCTGCATGCATTTTACATTCCCTCATTGGCCGTCGTTTTGGTGGTTCCAACCTAGAGGTGTGCATTACTATGGTTGCATAGTAATAACCTCAGTGCAATGTGAATGTCCATTTGCTCATCTGCCTTTGTTCATTGACAGTCCTGGGAATAGATGCTATAGGATCTCATAAACCTTTTTCTTTTCTTCTGAATAAGTTCGCATCCATAATACCAATTCCAGCAACTGCCAACAGATTCCCTTTGTGCTGCAGTCCCGCCTGCTCTTGCTTCCTTTCTCTAAACTCCCATCTTCCATACTCCACTGTACATGGGAGAAAAAGCTGTCTTTTAAGCATCTAGAACAGTGGTTCCCAATTAGGGGCCCGGGGACCCCTGGGGGTCTGCAGAACACACTCGGGGGGTCCATGGCACCGTCCCCTGCCAGGGACTTGCTTATCTTGTTAACTGCACAGTGAAAGCCTTCCAGGGGTCATCCAGCCCCTGCTTGCTGGGAGGGGGAAAACTTGTGAAAGAGTTGGGGGATGGCAAGTAAACTGGGATTGGGCAAAAACCTCTGACACAGTTTCATATGTCTCTTGTGACTAGAGGGGAGGGGGGAAGAGGGTGCAAACAGCTCACATGCTTATCATTTTTTAAAAATGTAAGGGATCCCTCCCCCCCTTGCTCTCTACTTTTTCACTGAAAAGAACTTCTAATTGCTTTCAACAACTAGTTTAGTTTAGAGGACTCTCCCACTGCTTGTAGTACAGTTTTCAGTTAATCTTGCCTTATGAGTTTCGGATTCATGTCTCATCTTGGAAGTCCAACAGGGGAAATAGCTAAGCAAATTGCCACTGTGATTACCACAGCAGCTCAACCTCTGATGATTTAGTTTAGTGCTATGGCTGGGCAATATTATCTTTTCAACATTGTGATATATCAGTAGCTAATAGAGCCTAGGACTTGCCGATCAGAAGGTTGGCGGTTCAAATCCCCGTGACGGGGTGAGCTCCCGTTGCTCGGTCCCTGCTCCTGCCAACCTAGCAGTTCGAAAGCACATCAAAGTGCAAGTAGATAAATAGGTACCGCTCCGGCGGGAAGGTAAACGGTATTTCCATGTGCTGCTCTGGTTCGCCAGAAGCGGCTTAGTCCTGCTGGCCACATGACCTGGAAGCTGTACGCCGGCTCCCTCGGCCAATAAAGCGAGATGAGCACCGCAACCCCAGAGTCGGCCACGACTGGACCTAATGGTCAGGGGTCCCTTTACCTTTACCTTAAATACTGGTATATGCTGATGTATTACTATGTCTGGAATTTAATTTGGCTGCTTCTTCCCACCTTAGGGAAGTAAGAAGCAGCTGAGAAACATGGTCCACCCCTACACAGTGAGCGAGTTCCGATGCCTCTCGGGCTTATGTTTGATCCGAGGAGCATTGGGGCTTTGCTGAAATGCTCAGCTGGGGGTGGAAGAGGCCTCTCGTCCCCCAGCTGAATGAGCCAGAGTGGGGCTGGAAGCTCCGTTAACTGCATGGCTGAGGGGAGCGGCAACCATGCACCCTTCAGTGGAGCAGTTTCATTGAGCCCCCCCCCCTGCCAACAGCTGGTGTGAGCCCGGGGCAAATCAGAGGCTCCATCAAACTGCTTGGCTGAGGCAAGGGCAGCCGCACGCTCCTCCGCCGAGCAGTTTAAAGAAGTGGAGGGAGGAACAAGCTGTATTGTGCCTCGCCAATGCAACTTGATTCTGCTTCTGTTGGTGTGAGGGCAGAGTGGGATGGTGGTTTCACTCCGTGGTAGATCGCTGGTGAAACTGCTGCAGTTCCTGAGTTCCTCTGCTACCAGCGCCAGCTGGAGGGAGCCAAGAGCTCAAAGAGATTAATGAGTTGAGCACAGAAGGACTAAATAACAGTAATAAATTACTACTACTACTACTACCAACATTCCAACATTCCATCTGTTTTCCATTCAGTCTTCCCCAATACCTTATCAAGCCCTGGCCAAGCCTTCACCTATGTCTTGAAGGTGCAAGATCCCTTAGTTAGCAGAACCATATGCTGCAAAATTTTGCTAAGATGTACCATTTCAGATTAGAAGTAAGGAATAGCATGTTTGAATACTCTCTCATACAAAAAGCCTTCTGCATATAGAACACGTACAAGTTAGGGACACAATTCCTTTTTAAAAATTCAGTTGTACTGGGGACACGTTTTTCCTGCTGTCTAGTGATAGGCTGTTTTTGGTAATATCACAAATTTTACCTAAAATCCTTTAGTAAAGCTAAAATCCCCTAGGCTACCCCACATTTTCCTCAAATAATTGCTTTGCACAGGTAAGTACCACAGAGTTATCAAAATTTTCCTAAGTAGGGGTCTGTGGCTTGGCTTTAGAAAAATAGGGGGTCCTCAGTAATTAGCTAATTGTGAACCACTGATCTAGAAGGATTGGGGAAGACAAAGTCTTGTTTCATTTGCATGGAGATTTGGATAAGATAAGAAACTGTAATGGGCTTGAGAGAGATGTAATTTCTTCCATGCAGAAGGGAAAAATTGCTTTTCCTCACCTTCATACTGTTGCACAAGTCAGGGAAATCTCTTGACTTTTCCCAAAACTCCCAACTGCCACAGGTGTTGGTAGTGAGGAGAAATGTAGACTAGACTAATTGGTCAGCCGGCATTTGTGGGCGCCTTACAAGTAAGTATTACTGATTAAAAATGTAGCAGCAGTGGCAAATGCATTGTAGTCATCTTTGTTTTTCTTCATGCCTTCTGGATAGGCTCTTTAGGACAGACTCTTGCATAAATATAAATAATAAATATTATATTCTTTTCAGGATTATCATGACCACATAGCTGAAATTTCAGCAAAGCTCGTAGCCATAATGGATAGCTTATTTGACAAGCTGCTCTCTAAGGTAAATATTTGTGGATAGAATCATGCTTCTTAACAAAGGTTTAAGTTCTTCAGCTCATATAGAATACTCAGTGGGTACATGGACAATACTTTCCTTGTTCAGCTGCTTATTGTTTCTTAGCAGTTCAGTATGCTTAGGTATTTTGACTACGTTAGCAAGGTATTTTTCTAATAATTTTCTGGTTTGAAATGTCTTATTTTTAGTATTGTTATTCTTAGCAGAGAATTATAGAGGATACCTCTAAGTTTTATCAGATAATTGCTCCAAGACGTCCATTGTGCAGTATTTTGCTAACTTGTAGTTCACTGGCAAATAAAAGAATAAATGTCCAGATATGGACCCCAAACTCATAAGGCAAGGTCAGGTGTGCCTCCCTTATACATTCTTAAAAAAAGAATCCAGTTCCACTCCAAACCCAGACTCTGTGTGTGCAGAGGTGTACATGTGGTTCCCCGTGCAAACAGCCCCTCCCATTGCATGCTGAGCTATACTGTATGTACATAAAGTAATCTCTATTGTGCATCGTATTTGCATTTGCAGAAAACTTACATACTGTTCTTTGGGGCAGTTTCTCTTAACAGCTGGGAAATAAGATATTTTATGGTAGTTGTCTGCTCAGAATTTTAGCACATTACATATCATCTGTATAGCAAATCATAGTTGATGATGAGAAACTGAACTAGTCAGCAGAAAGATTATTACTCCTGATGAGACTAGGGTCTCAGGGTTGGATACATTAATTTAAAATACAATGTTAAAAATAGTTTAAAGCAATCTACTTGTGGTGAACCTGGCTCCAGAATCACAAAAATAGGGTGATTTAGGGTGAAACTCTTAAGAAGATATTTATCAGGTGTCAAAGGCCAAGGTAAAGATGCGTGCCTTCAGCATTCACTGAAAACTATGTGTTGAAGTTGCCAGACACAGCTTTGAGGAGAGAGTTCTACAAACTAGGGCCTACCACAGAGAATGCCTCCTCCTGGGCCACCACCCCAAGTTCTGTGGACAGCAGAACTACCAAGCAGGCATCCCCTGTTGATCTGGAGACCTGAGAGGGTCCATAGGGAAGGGGGTGGCCCTTCAGATATTTGGGGCCTGAATCATTTGGGCTTAAAATGCTAACATAAGCACCTCCTTAGATTGGGCCCAGAAATGAACTGGCAACCCATGAATTTCCAGTGTTTTTTAAAGTAGCAGCCAGAAAACAACTTTAGTGACACATTCCCTGTCTTTGTTAACAGTATGAGGTGAAAGCGCCTGTTCCTTCCACCTGCTTCAGGAATATTTGTAAACAGATGGCCAAGATGCATGAAGCAATATATGACCTTCTTCCTGAGGAGCAAACACAGGTGAACCGTTTTGAGTGGTGTGTTTATTTCTGCTGTAGGAGTGTCACGTATCCTTCCAATAGTTGAAGAGGCATCTGCAAATGAAGTCTACACTTGCTGATTACTCATACAAGGAGGATCACATCTCATGTTATTTAAGATCTTGGCTTAAAACGCTATGCATAAGTAAATTATTCCTTATTTTATGTAACACATAAATAGTAAACATTCAAAAAGTAGAGATCAGTACAGTGGTGCCCCGCAAGACGAATGCCTCGCAAGACGGAAAACCCGCTAGACGAAAGGGTTTTCCGTTTCTGAGCTGCTTCGCAAGACGATTTTCCCTATCGGCTTGCTTCGCAAGACGAAAACGTCTTGCGAGTCTTGCGATTCCCCCCCCCCACTTTCCCCCTTTTTCAAAGCCGCTAAGCCGCTAATAGCCTTTTAGCAGCTTAGCCGCTAATCCTTTAATAGCCGCTAAGCCGCTAAAAGCGCTAATCCGCTTAGCCGCTAATAGGGTTGCTTCGCAAGACGAAAAAACCGCTAGACGAAGAGAATCGCGGAACGGATTCTTTTCGTCTTGCGAGGCACCACTGTATTGGAATAGCTTTACCTCATTTGAAATATGGCTGCAAGTAAAGCCTTCAATTATTGAGTCTTTTAATAGCCTTGGGGAAATGGTCCACTAGGTATTTCTGTGTTGTCATGCTGAACCAGGTGGGGTGGTTCCCCCTAGCATTCAAAGGCAGGAATGTACTCAGCTCTTAGGAACTTGTAACTAACTCCTTCCCAGAAGCGACCTCATTCTTGGTTTTTTGCCAGGTTAGAGAAGGAAGAAATTGTGGGAGATCTGCAGTCAACCCTAAGAGTGCTAGTGAGTATAGAGTAGGATCAGTGATGGGAGAGATGTTCTTCTCTCCCTCTTTCTCATGCTGCACACCATGGAGGCAGACATGCCTCAACAGAGCTCTCTGCCTTTGCTGTATTTATCATCCCAAAAACAATTATCTTCATTTCTTAATGTTGCTACATGACTGTGACTTGATTAAGTAAAGCATTTTTAAACTAACTTCAGAGGGTGGTCTATTTCATTGAATGGGGTGGGGTAGAAGGGGGCCAGTTTACTCAAGCAGCAGGAATGGAATTAAAAGGTTTAATAGCCCAATCCTGTGCTTCTTTAATCTGCTTGATGCCAGATTTAAACTCTGCTGCTGGGGCTCTTTATGCGCTAGTCCCGTGTTTTTAAAAACAGGCACCAGCCATTTCCCTATTGTTTGTTAACCCACACACATGGGTCTCTTACCAATAACCATCAGAAATTTACAGGATCCACACAGAGATGGAAGAGAGTTCCAGTTGCAAGCAGTGCCCAGTGGTATTGGCTTGCCAGCGACCCAGAGTAGTCTGCTGCCATCTGTGGGAATAGTGACTGAGGTTGCTTCTGGAAATGGGCTAGTTAGAAATTCCTGAGAGGCAAGTATATTCCTGCTCTCGAGTGCTAGAGGGAGCCAAACCCACCAGGTCTAGTATGGCAGGATGGGAGAAGTAATGGACTCTTTTTATTTAAAACAATAAATAAAAAGGAAGAAGTGTGCATGCACACGAAAGCTCATACCAAGAACTAACTTAGTTGGTCTTTAAGGTGCTACTGGAAGGAATTTTTTTTATTTAAAACAAGTAACACATACTATTTAATTGCAGATATTGTCTCATTAATTTTACTTGTAAGTTTGTGTGTGCTTGGGCAAGGAGATTCCCATGAATCAGAAAATAAGTAAACCATTTCTTGGTACTAGTTTAAATATTATGGCCCCTGTGTGAAAGCTACTGACAACCATATCTCCATGGCCACATCCCAAGTGGGACTGTAGCATCTATAAGTAGCTTCACACCACCACTGTATATTATTAACCTTTGGCGCAGTCCATTAATGCAGAGTTGTTATGTGAGATGACATCATGAAAAAATATGCCATACTTAAACATGGTTCTGAAGGAATGGGTTTCCCAAACCCCATGGAGGGGGGAGAGTACCCCTCCTCCCTGTGCCTTGGTGCATTGGCCGGGAAACCCCAAACTGGGGTTTGGGAAACCCATTCCTTCAGTTCCAGGGGAAAGTATGGAGAACTAGGGGGTTGTTTTTTAAAAAAAAACAAAAATGCTGGAACCATTATTTATGAAGTGCTCATTATTTTCTGTGCTGGCGGAAGAGCATAGTGGCTCATAAATGCGAAGTACATGAAACTGAGTACAACTCACAACTTAAGTGCATTTAACTTGCACACATATGATTGGCAATAAAATAAAAATAAGGAGGCAGACATATGGGGAAAGAAGAGTTTGGCAATCCTACCCACCACTGAACCCAGTGTGTTTTGACTATACACAATTTTGGCTTTACGCGCTAGCCCCAGAACATAACCTCGGCGTAAGTTGAGTCTTCTGTATTCTTCATAGTCACTCCTCAAGAGAACAAAACCTTTCACCTTCTTACTATATATTCTAAAAAGGAACATCTTCTATATTGTTCTCTAGATGTTGTTTTTAAGAATTAATGCAAGCTACAAACTTCACTTGAAGAGGCAATTGGCCCACTTAAATGTAATCAATGACGGAGGACCTCAAAATGGGTATGTTACACAAGGTTTTTTATATAGGAGTTCAAGGGTAAGGCTGCTAAATACAGTCTATCTCTTTTAAGCATTTGATTGATACTGCTGGATGGCTGTGCTCAGAAAAGGACCTAACACTACGGGAAAGAACACAAGTAAACATTTTGAGAAAGAGAATTCTAGCAAGAGAATATGGAATTTAATGGATGCATATTTGATGTAGTTATCTTATAGAAGTTATATTATTAAACACAAAACATAGTATTTTGTGATTTTGAACATCACAGCTCTTCAGGAATTAAAAACAATTTTACTACTACCTTACACTAATAGTAGATGGTGATATTTTCTAACTGTATTAACTATACAGGGTGGCCCAAAAGTAGGTATACAGTTGAATCAATGAAATTCATCACAACAGATTATTTGGGTACACACAACAAAGTTGCAGTTAAATTTCAGGCTGGCAGTTAGAAATAATAGTGGAGTCAGATAAAAGGATTATTGTGAATGATGATGGCAAACTTGAGTCAAGTACAAAGAAAATGGATTCTAAAGCAGTATACCTACTTTTGGGCCACGGTGTACAGTGCAAGGCAAAATAGATCAGGCTTAGCACACAAGACCAAGTGCACAACACTTAGCTTGAAACAAGATCTAAAATTCTTGCCTATAGATCCAGCCCTTTTGTCTCCTCAATGTGTTTATTTCTGTTTCAGATTGGTTACAGCAGATGTAGCTTTTTACACTGGAAATCTCCAAGCTTTGAAAGGGCTTCAAACCCTAGACTTGAACATGGCTGAAATCTGGGAACAGAAGAGGTGATAGCCCAGCAGAGCAGAATTGCCTCTTGGCATGGGATGGTTTCTTCTTTGTAGAAGATGAATTACTGGAACATAGAAGAGGAAGCTCCCTTGTGATGTGGTGAAAACCAACTATGGGAATGACTTTGATAGTTCTTTTGCAAGAAAAGTGATCAGTTCTCTGTGCAATTTCTTCATTCTTTCTGGAACGAGGCTCAGGTTTCTTTGGACCAAATCCAAAAGAATATATAGCTGTAACACAGCTGTAGTTTTCTAGAGAGTGCTCTGTAAATCTTTATATTAAAAAGATGCTTTGCATTTCCTCTAGTGCAATGAAATTCACATGGTGTCTCACCTTTATTTAATGATGGTAGTTTGAAAATTCTTGCTGTTGAATTATAGAAAATGTTTTCAGTATAAAACTTTACTGTTAAATTATTTTTTTACAGATGTTTCTATAAAGTCTTATCTGCATAGATTTGGATTTGTTAGGGTGCATCCTGTTCCAAAGTATTTCTATAAATGATCTTCGTACTCCCACCAGAAGATGACATTTTAAATGTTTCCCAGCTCTTGAAAGTAAAGCCCTGCAACTTATTCTGAGTATAAGGGCATGTTAATAAGATAGCTTATCATAGCCAGTAAGCTTCTCAAACTATGGGGGGGGGGAGGTGTTGTGTTAATTTTTTGAACACTTCTTTTAAAACCCCCTTCCATGGACTTCTAATTTGCCAACTTCCATGTAGTTTATTTACTTCCTTTCCCACCTGCCCACTCTATTTAAAATGTTAAGTGTAGTTCTGACTACACACTTAAGTGCAGCAGGAGATGAGGCATGTCTAATTTATGAATACTTTTTCTAATGCTACCTTTCAGGCTGGTACCTGCCTCTCTTAAGTAATGAAGTGCCTGTGTATTTCACCTCACAGCATTTTTACCTAAACCCAGTGAGTGCCTACTCTTGTGATGATTATGTACAATGATAGTCTACCATGTTTGTGTGCCTGTGATTTCTTCAGACAGGCATGCCTATCTGTTAACATTAGCAGAAGTCGCTGTCAATCAAATAAAGTTGTAAAAATGAGCTGTTTAAGAGAGCAACTTCTTTAAGAATAGGATAAGCACAATGCCAGATTTTGTTAACAGCAAAAAAGAAAATTCAGACAGGGGGCTTGATGTTATTTATTTCCGTACCTTCCAGATGTGGAATTTGTTTCCACATTTGTAACAAGCAAAACATGATTTAATTCTAAGAACATAAAGTACACTGAAGTGGTGATATTTTCCACTATTTAGAAGTACATTTAGGATTTCTTAAGTAATAGCTAAAAAGTAGGAGAAGCTAGAAGATGAGGGGTGACAGTAAAGGAGTAACATTCTAAGGTGTCTCTTCTTTGGGTAAACAGAGAGCAATAACTCCAGCTTTAGAGAAGGATAAAAGTGAGGTAACTGAGCAATGCTATCGTTGCTGTGATGGTACTATAGCTTGAAGGTATTAACTGCAGGAAGGAAGACAATGTTAACAGTTAAGTACTAGACATTTTAAACAGCTTATGTGCCATATTAATAAATCATCTAAGTGTTTTATCATGGGTGCCATTTATGCTTTATAAGGTGGTTGCACTTAATAGTTAACAGCGTATTTCACAGCTTTTTCAGTTACAAGCCATTCAAAACTCATTGAACATCAGCATCTTAAAACATCTTACACAAGAGATGTCTGCCTTTTCTTAAGACAAACAATATTGCACTTTAGATTATATTAGCTGAATTATAGATTCATTTAAAGATCTGCATCTTAAATATTCTTTCAGTTAAGAAAGTACAGAAAAATTACTTAGAAATAATACTGTTGGTACAGTGAGTGGATAGCTAAGTATAGAGACCTTCTGTGTACAAATCTAATGCCTATGGGTTCTTCCACTTGTGAAACTAGGAAATATTACCAACATCTCTATTAGTTCACTTATTGGATCAGTGATCAAGGATCCGAAGATTTCCAGAGACTATTTTGTTCTCCAATACAGCTCCTGGTGGGATATCTATCCTGTCACCATGGTTTGCAATGATGATGACGGTTCCCTACATAATAAAAGAAAAAGGGGGGGAAATTCAGATACTTTTTTTTTATTAAGGAAGAGTGTTCTGCTTGGACTTGAACTTTTTATTTAGATTTTCTTAACTCAGCTTTGGGTAACTGTTTTGAATTAATTCTAATACATTTCATACAGTGATTCATGCCAAACTTGTATGGCTGGTATGAAATAAATACATCCTAAATATTTAGCTACAGAAATTTGTAAAACTTACAATCTTTACATACATTATGCAACTTAGTCATATTTAATAACTCTAGGTAAAGATAATTTCAGGCCCCATTTCTTTTGAAGACCAGCAAAGCAATACCGAAAGTATTTCTATTTTGTCACTCCAAGCAGCAAATAAGGATAAATTCCACCATATTAATCTGAGGTATATCAACACTTAGAATCTTGTGTACAGCTCTGGGCACACCTCAAAAAGGTACAGAAAGGCAACTTCCAGTTGAAACTTATCCCTTTTACTGAGAAGTCTCATTAGTCAATGGGACTTGACTTCCCACTATGTGGATATAGGTAGTGTTAACAAAAATCAAAGGCTTGGAGGAATGCTTAAAGTACTTGTGCCTTTTTATTTGAAGAAGACTTCGGGAGATAAAAATTATGAATGACTGCAGATCACAAACAGAAACACATAAACAGAGATGTAAAATATGCTAGAACTTAGAAGTTGGCAGCAAGTTCAGGACTGACAAGGCTTCAAATAATGCACAATTAACGTTTGAAATCAAAACTGATTAAACGCTCACAGTGTTAACTCAGGTCAGTTCACCTGAGGTCAAACTGAGAAGGTATCAAGACTATTAAGCAATGGCAACCTAATGAAATCTCCATGTTTCAAGGCAGTATATGTGACACCTTGCAATTAGCAATCAAAAACTTTTAAAGAATGAAATAATCAGTTCCTGGCATGGGACACTTTTGCCCCCAGCTGTGGTTCCAGTCCAGATAGAAAGCACAGGGCACTCCATCTACATAGGAAGAAAAGCTTCTGTTACCACCAATGGGAGCTTTTCTTCCAGTGCCAATAGCAGGCATGAGAGACACAATCTGAAATGAGACCACAGCAGGGGCATATGGTCAAAGCCCCCCATGCCAGAGTCCCAGTCCAGATCAGGCCACTTTTACAACTTTTATAGAACCATCCACACTATTTCTAGTTAAATGAGTGGTCCCTGGTTGAGTCTGGCCATTAGAGATGCCACATGTCATTTCTCTTACAGAGATTTAGCACTATATTTTCAGATGTAGTGTGATTCTTATTTTGGGTACACACACTGGGAAACAAATGGTTTTCAATAAATTTCTCGAAGGCAAATATATACTTTCTTTCACATATTACATGTTCTACATCCAATGAAGAGATGAATATTTGTATATTTAATCTTAAGGGAGGTTGACAGATCAACAATTTCTACATGTTATCAAAATACAAAGGCAATTTGTATACAGAAAATTGTATTACCTACCTTTAATGCAACATTTTTGCCAAATGTGACATCGCCTGAAACAGTCAGATGATCCAGTTCTAGCATATCTGGTATACTTTCAAACCTCTTCAGGTAATCTTGAACCTTTTCAAAAAGCAGACATTAAAGAATGATGCCATGTCATCATGAAAGATTTGTCTGGAAATTATTTGAAATATAAACAACTACATGGCCTACCTAGAACTATGCTTATTTAGTTGTTTGTCGTGGAATTTTATAACTTTCTTTTTTCCCTGACCCCTTTAACTAAAGACAATTATTATTTTCCTATAGTTTCATGCAAAATGCAAGTGATTAATGGAAAGGGAATTGCAGTCATGGGGGCAGCAGACCTTTTCTAAATTCATCTAAGTTTAAAGGTTTCTGGTAGGCATCATTGTTATTCCTCTGGAAATAAAGGTAGGCTACTCGTAGCTTTAAGAGGTGATTACTTGAAGAAGCTGGGGTTGCAATGTTCACACCCAGGATAGAACAAATGGGAGCTTGCTCATGCCAATTTGATGGATCAACACACCTGACTTGGATCTGGGTTAACAATGGAAAACTGAACTGAACAAATGAGATTGTGTAAGCATCCACTATCAAATATGCCATTGTCATAGGAGAATATTTATAAGAGTTCTGATGACAAAAGCAGTTTAAAAATAATGTGAAAACAAGGCACATCAACCTGCTTCAATAGTAGGTATTCTGGTCAAATGCTGATGTGAAGGAAGTCAAGAATATCACCTGTTTCCCAAGGGGTTTTCTAGTAAGGGTCGAGATTTTCCAGTTTCAAGATTTTCAAACAAATCCACAAACCAATTAAACTCTGCCACTTTCATTTAAGTGCATCTAGTTCTGCTGAAGTAAACTGAGCCTAGTATTCCCAATTTGAGCTACTCTGCCAGCAACAGTGGTAAAGACATCAGATAATACAGAGCTACTCTACGGCACGCCATCTAGAGAAGGCAGATCTGGCTAAAACAAACCACACAGCTTAGATAAAAATAATGGCCTTTTAAATCAAACCTCTCAATTAGAAAGAGACTTAACACATTTTCTTTGTTTCCTATTATCTAAGATATATAAGCTGCTTTGGGGTGGGAAACAAAAGATGAACAGGTGAAACCAGTGATGATACACTGGGCAAGGGATTTTAGTTATAATACAGAAATGGAAGCATGGAAAAGGTTATGGAATGTGGATTTGAAATTTACAGCATGTTATACATTGAAAGAAATTATATGAAAATGATGTACAGATGGTACTTAACACCCAGTAAATCAGCAAGAATGTATAAGTCAAAATCAGACACATGCTGGAAATGTAAATAGGAAAAGGGCACATTCTATCATAGATGGTGGTCTTGTAATATAGTATAAGACTTCTGGGAAATTATTTATAATGAATTGAAAAAAATGTTGAAGGTAACTTCTATTAAAAAACCAGAAGCCTTTCTTTTAGGTATACTAGGGCAGGATATACTGGAAGACCAAGCAAAATGGCTTATGTATGCAACCACAGCCACTAGGATGCTCTTTGCACAGAGCTGGAAAGAGGACACTGTCCCAGCAAAGGAAGAATGGCAAAATTTACGGGAAGAGTAAGAAATCAAGAAGAAAGAATGGGGGAGTTATGTGGGTCATCTTAAAAATATTGTAAACAAACACACCAGCAGGATTAATTTAAAATCAAGCAATTAAAAGGTGACTTTGGAAGAAATATAGAGAGAAACAAAAGGAATTAAGGAGAAACCAAGGAAGGGGAGGAAGGAAGTCAAAACAGGTAGGTATGTAAATGTAATTGATTATTATTATTGTTAAATTGAAAAATGAAAATAATTTTAAATAAAATAAAACCACACAGCTTGATCTACATGCAAATATGGTCAATGTTTTACTGCCAAGCTATAAACAATTAAAAGGAGCTATTCTACAAGCTAGAGTGTGCCTAGCCCTAGGCAAATAAAAAGTCTTCTCCTGGCACTAAAAAACCACCCAATTAGGCATCAGATAAGCATGTATGTGAAGAGGATGTGCCACACGCAAATGCAAGTCACCACCATCAAGAAGGTCCTCTCTCCATCTGAGATTAAAGGACCCATTGGTAGCAGTGGGCTCACCAGGGGAGATAGAAGGCTCCAAGGAAGCAATGGTAGATACTAGTTGTTTGGGTAGCCATCCAGCAAGCCATTGAGTGCTTTATAAGTAACACCTAACACTTTCAATTGTACCTGAAAACAGACATGCAAAACTGTGCCTATTTAAATACTGATAAGATATACTCTATACAGCTGGTCACAATTAGCAGCTGTGTTTTGCAATAAATTGGAATCGCTGGGAAATATTCAAAAGGCAGTTCTCTATAAAACAAATACTAGCAACCCATTCTAGAAGCGATCAGAGCATGGATAATTGTCCCGGGCTCTCTCTGGGAGGAACCTCAGCTGTGCTTCATTCTTAGCTGGTGAAAGGCACTGCGTGCCACAGATGCCACTTGGACTTCTAGTGATGATGATGGATCAATCAGTCAAGACTTCCAGACTCTAGAATTAGTCCTTTTGGGGGATTGAAGCCCTATCCAGAAACCATCTTGCTGACCCACCTACCAATGGAATCTGTCTTATTTAGATTGAACTCCAGGTTTCTGTGTCTCATCCAATCCGTTACTGATCCCAAACACTAATTCACTAAGTCTTACTGAATTCAGTAATTCAGTAAGTCTACTGGTTAACCTGACTCCAGTGAAATAGAGTAGAATTGATTGTCATTAGCATAGTGAAGGCACCTCACTCCAAATTTCCAGTTCATTTAATTTACTCTTAGGGCAGCATTCAGGAACACAACTAGATTGGCTTCTATGTGAAGCCATGTGAAGAAGGAGCTTGATAAAACTGTTTACCCATCATCTGCAATTAACATTTTTCTTGTTCCTCTCATTTAAGAGCTGTGCTTACCTTGGTGAAAGAGCTTCCCAGTTTGACCAGTGGCACAGTAGGGAATTCCCTTTTCTCACTCATTGTTAAAGATCCAGCATTAAGGCTATATAGATTGGACATCACAAGTAGAAGATCAGACGTGGTCTTGACAGGCAGAAACCTGCTACGGGGTACATTTATTCCCAGAGAATTCTCAAAACTTTTAATGGCAGCGCCAACAGCAGTCTCCAGCTGAATAACATTTAAACCACCATCTAATGTCTGGAAGAAAAAGCTTCATCAGTTAAGTAACTGTTCAAGAACGTTAACTGAATTGGTAACAATGATGATGATGGTTAAAATTTCTGTTATTTCTTTAAATATCAGAGTGGTTTACAATATAAAACACAAAAACACATACCACAGCAACAAACAAAAACAATACCCCCCCCC